TGTCTTTTTTTTCTTTTTACCTGATTTTTAGGAGTTTATAAGTTTTGGATACTGATTGTTATATGTTGCAACTTTTGTCTCTCAATTTGTGGTTTGTTGTTTCACTTTCATCAAAAGATGAACACAAGTTCCTAACTTTAACGTAGTCAAACATATAATTTTTTTCTTTATGATTTGCAATTTTGCATCTTGTTTAACGAAATCCTTCTCTGTTCTGAGATTAAAAAGATACCCTCTTATACTGTCTTCTAAAGGTTCTATGGTTTTGCCTTTCACGTTTGGGAATTCAATACACGTGGAATTCGTTTTGTCCATGGTGTGAGGTAAGGGTTCAATTTTTACATTTTCTCTTTTGGACAACCTGTCCCAGCATCATTTATTCAAGTCTATCTTTTCCCCACTGATTTGCCACACCACAGCTGTGATAAAGCAAGGGTCCATAGTTGTGTGGGTCTTCTTCTGGGCTCTCAGTTTTGTTTCACTGGTCTACTTATTTATCTTTGCACAAATACAACACTGCTTTAATTATAATAAGGAAACTCCTTCTACCTCATTTCTCAAGAGTGTCTTGGCTATTAGATTTTTGTTTTTCCATATAAATTTTAGAACCAGCTTTTCAGGTCCCACAGAAACCAAATCAAACCAAAACAGTTGTGACCTTTGCCTGGAATTGCACTGTGTTTAATCTCCAAGTATTTTGGGATTTTCCTGTTATCTTTCTGTTATTGATTTCTAGTTTAATTCCATTGCAGTCTGAGAGCAGATATTATATAATTTCTGCTCTTTTAAATGTATTAAGGTGTGTTTCATGGTATAGAATGAGGTTTACCTTGGTGAATGTTCCATATGACCTTGAGAAGAATGTGTATTCTTCTGTAACTGGATGAAGTAGTCTATAGATGTCCATTATATCCGTTTCATTGATGGTGTTGTTGAGTTCAATTACATCCATACTGATTTTCTGCCTACTGGACCTGTCCATTTCTGACAGAGGTGTCTTGAATTCTTCAACTATGTATCAGTTTTTACCTGATGTATTTCAGTGCTCTGTTGTTAGGCTTATACACATGAAGGACTGTTAGGTCTTCCTAGATAATTGACCTCTTTATTATTGTGTAATGCCCTTCTTTATCCTTGATAACTTTCCTTACTCTGCAGTCTGCTCTTTCTGAAATTTTTTTTGAAGTATTTTTGTCTTTTATCTACAAACAACTAGCATTGTATCTGCCATAGGTAGATGTCTTGGATGACCCATCCAAGGAAGGTCACTCAGTCCAACTTCATGAAGCCGATGTCCTTTGCATACTTGCAGAAGCACTGGTGGCACATGTTGAGGCCATTATTTCCAGATCAGGCCGTGCTGGTTGGAGCAGACATGGCAAGAACGAGAACCCTGGCCAAATTTCCTCCAATGTCTTCAGTAGAGCTGCTGGTGACCCATGTTGCATTCTCTTCTTTCTGAAATTAATATATGTACTCCTGCCTTCTTTTGATTAGTGTTAGCATGGTATATCTTTCTCTATCTACTTACTTTTAATGTATACGTGTCTTTATAGTTAAAGTTTGTTGTAGACAACATATAGTTGGGTCTTGTTTTTTGATCCTCTCTGAAAATCTCTGTCTTTCAATTGGTTCATTTAGACTATTGACATTCAAAATAATTTTTGATAAAGTAGGATTAATAGCTACCATATTTGTTACTCTTTTCAATTTTTTGTCCTTGTATTTTGTTCCTAGTTTTGTCTTCCATTTTTCCTCTATTGTTTGTGGTTTCAATTGAGCATTTTATATCATTCCGTCTTCTCTCCTTTCTTAGCATATCAATTATACTTCTGTTTAAACTTTTTTACGTGGTCAGCCTAGAGTTTGCAATATACATATACAACTAATCTAAGTCTTCCTTCAAATAATTCTATACTGCTTCGTGGATGAGTACCTTATAATAACAAAATAATCCCAATTCCTCTCTCATACCTTGTATCATTGCTATCATTCATTTCACTTATAGATAAGCATATATCTGCATAAATAATTGAACATATTGTGGTTATTATTTTGAATAAACTTTTGTCTGTTAGATCAATTAAGAATAAGAAAAATAAAAGTTTTCTTTTACTTTTACTTATTCTTTCTCTGAGGCTCTGCCTTTATGTAGATTGGAGTTTCTGACCTATGTCATTTTCCTTCTCTCTGAAGTTCTTGTAACATTTCTTGCAAGGCAGGTCTATTGACAACAAATTCTCTCAATTTTTGTTCATCTGAGAAAGGCTTTTATTTCTCCTTCACGTTTGAAGGATAATTTTGCAGGGTGTATAATTCTAGGTTGGTGGGTTTTTTTCTCTCAGTACTTTAAATATTTCACTCCACTCTCTTCCGTCTTGCATGGTTTCTGAAGAGAAGTGGAATGTAATTCTTATCTTTATTCCTCTATAGGTAAGGTGTTTTTTTCCTCTGGCTTCTCTCGGGATTTTTTCTTTATCTTTGATTTTTCTGTAGCTTGAAAACGATATGCCTAGGCATAGTTTTTCTGGCATTCATCCTGCTTGTGGTTCTCTGAACTTCCTGGATCTGTGGTTTGGTGTCAGACATTAATTTGGGGTAATTATCAGTCACTATTGTTTCAAATAGTTCTTTTGTTCTTTTCTCTCTTTCTTCACCTTCCAGTATTCCCATTACATGCATATTACACCATTTGTAGTTGTCTCACGGCCCTTGGATAGTCTGTTCTGTGTTTTTTTTTTCAGTCTTTGCTTTTTGGTTTTGGAGGCTTCCATTGAGATATCCTCAAGCTCAGAGATTCTCTCCTCAGCTGTGTCCAGCCTACTAGTAAGCCCATCAAAAGTATTCTTCACTCCTTTTACAGTACTTTTATCTCTAGAACTTTCTCTTGATTCTTTTTGGAATTTCCATGTCTCTGCTGACATTGCCCATCTGTTCTTGCATGCTCTCTACTTTGTCCATTAGAGCCCTTAGCATATTAATCATGGTTGTTTTAAACTCCTGGTCTGATAATGCCAACATCCCTGCCATATGAGAGTCTGGTTCTGATGCTTACTCTGTATTTCAAACTGTCTCTTGCCTTTTACTTATGTATTTATTTTTTGCTGAGGAAGATTCTCCCTGAGCTATCATCTGTGCCACATAGTATTTATGTGGATCACCACCACAGCATGGCCACTGACAAGTGGTGTAGGTCTGCCTGGGGAAGTGAACCTGGGTCGCCAAAGCAGAGTGTGCTGAACTTAACCACTAGGCCATGGGGCCGGCCCCTGTTTTTTGCCTTTTAGTATGCTTGTAATTTTTTGATAGCCGGACATGATGTACCGTGTAATAGGAATAGTTGTAAATAGGCCTTTAGCAATGTGGTGGTAAGGTGTTGGGGGAGAGGAAGCATACTATATTCCTATCATTAGGCATGTCTTTTAGTGAGCCTCTATCTCTGGCCTGTGAACTTCATCTGTGCTTTTCAGTCCCCTCTCCCCCTTTAGGTGGGAAAGGATGACTAGAGTGGGCTGAAGTTGGGTATTTCTCTTTCTCTGTGTGTAAGGCTAGAGCCAGCTGGAGTTGGGTATTTCCCTTCTCCCAGGTCAGTTAGGCTCTGGTTAAAGTTTCTCCTAAGTGCAGACTTTGTTAAGAACAGAATATGGGGCCAGCTCCTGTGGCCCAGTGGTTAAGTTTGGCACGCCCCGCTTCGGTGGCCCAGGTTCAGTTCTTGGGCACGGACCTACACCACTCGTCTATCAGTGGCCATGCTGTGATGGTAGCTCACACACAAAATAGAGGAAGACTGGCAACAGATGTTAGCTCAGAGTGAATCTTTCTCAGGAAAAAAACCCCCACAAAACGGAATACACTGGCATATTTCAAAATGGTTCCTTCCCCTCCTTGTGCCTGCAAGAAGCACAAGGGGATTTTTCTCTGATACTCAATGTGACACCTGTGGTAGAGCTCTAGGAGTAAAACTTACAAAAGTTTTACCCCCAGTGACTGGGTCCCCCCTGAATTTTTATTTCTCAGACTTATCCACACTCAGCCTCCAGGACTTTGTCAGCTACAGTTCAGTTTTCTCTCCCTCAGCACTGGTTCCTATAGAGGCTTCAACTTGGGGGTTTCTGCTCCTGTAAATGGTGATTCTCTGTAATCCCGTCAGTCTCTCCAGTTGTGTCAGTGGTTCGCCCTGTGACCTCACTTCTCATACAGATCTAAGAGGAGCTGACTTTTCAGTTTGTTCAGTTTTTTACTTGTTGTTAGGATGGAGAGACTACTTCCAAACTTATGTGCTGGACTGGAAACTGGAAGTCTGCACTGAATCTTTAAATTTAAGAATAACTTCTCTTTCTACTACATTATGTATTGTTATCTAGAAACATGAAATATTCCTCCAATTATTTAGGCCTTCTTTAATATCTTTCAATAGTTTTATAATTTTCTCCATAAAAGTCTTATACATCTTGCATTAGTCAGTTCAGGCTGCCATACAAAATACCACAGACCGAGAGGCTTAAACAACTGAAATTTATTTTCTCACAGTTCTGGAGGCTGGAAGGCTGAGATCAGGGTGCCAGCTTGGTTGGGTTCTGGTGAGGTCTCTTCCTGGCTTGCGATGGCCACCTCCTTGCTGTGTCCACAGATAGCAGAGAGCGAGCTTTGCTGTCTCTTCTCAGATCTACTGGATCAGGGCTCCACCCTTATGACCTCATTTAGCCTTAATTACCTCCTTGAAGACCTTATCTGTAATACAGTCACATGAGGGGAGCAGCTAGGGCTTCCACATCTGAATTTTGGGGGGGACGAAATTCATTCCTTAGGACATTGTGTTACACTTAGTCCTAAGTACTAGATATTTTTCATGCATATTATAAACGGTTTTATTTTTCTTATTACACTTTTAAGTGTTTTGCAGTAAATGAACATGTAATTAATTTTTGTAGATTGATTTTCTAAGAAGGTGCTTTTATATATACAAAAGAGCATATAACAGATCTAAGAAAATTATCAAATTTCAACTTTTTTGAAAATTTTTTTATTTCAGAATCATTGCTACACAGTCACATAATCCTCAAAATCCAAGTTTACAACTGATCATCACAAGATCCCTTATCCATATACACATTAGTTAGAGGGAAAAAATTCTATACAATGTTTTAGTAGTTACATGATTTGTAAACAAAACTGAATTAGTGAGAGCTGAAGAACTCTCAGGGTATTACACAGAGGATACCTACTCTCAAATACAAGAAGCTGGGCACTCAAGGAAAATTTCCTATTCAGTCATAGAAAAAGGCTAAAGGCATTTTATGATGCGATAAATACTTTAAGTTGGTACACAACCTACTGGGCAAATAAAATTGTTACATAGGTTGGTACCTTTGCCCTTGAATACTTGTAGTATGGTATTACCCATTTATCTGATACTTAATAATACACAGAATTTCAAGTCTGGGGGCCAGCCCCATGGCTGAGTGGTTAAGTTCACTTGCTCTGCTTCAGCGGCCCAGTGTTTCACCTGTTTGGATCCTGGGCGTGGACATAGCACTGCTCATCAGGCCATGCTTAGGTGGCGTCCCATGTGCCACAAGTGGAGGGACTCACAACTAAGGTATACAACTATGTACTGGGGGGATTTGGGGAGAAAAAGCAGAAGGAAAAAAAAAATTTCAAGTCTGGGTTTTCAAAACAGTTGCTTGATGTTTTTGAATAATGTACTCAGACTGCTTTTTCATTTATCTTTTCTCCTTTCACACAGTTTAGTGGGACTGTGCAATGCTGGAGCAATAATCCAGAATGTCCTGAATAGTGAATTCCATTGTAACACCAGATCCAGGGTAACAGCGAGCTATCAAACCTTCAAAGTGCTTGTACTGGCGTATAAATTCATCCTGCATGGAGTGCCATACCACCTATTACAAAAACAAAAATAAAAATCATTTAACTATGAATGGAAATAACACAGAGTCAAGTAGGTAGAAATAACATCAAGACATAGTCTAAGAATTTAGAACATAGTTGAGCACATAGTCATAGTTGAGAACATGCATTCTGGAGCCAGAATCCTAGCTCCTCCTACTTACAAGATTTGTGACGTTGAGTATGTTACATCACTGCTCTGTGCCTCAATTTCCTTATCTGTAAACTGAGGTAATAATAATAATGCCTTCCTATAAGTTTATTGTGAGGGTTAAATGAGTGAATGTATGTTAACTGCCCAGAACAGTGTTTGACACACTAAGCACTCATGCTGTTTTAGCTGTTATTATATCTCCTCCAATATCCAACACAGATGTGAATATGCAAAATTATATATGGAAAAAAGACTAGTGATTAAATGAAATGCAACTATTAATGCTTAAATCTTATTTCAGATGAAAGTTTAAAAATTTCTTTATCTAAAATTGATGATGTGAAACATTGCTTGATGCCGCAGAGGACACCCAGATGAGGCAGACCAATTATCAGCATCCAAGGAATTATAATCTTGGAGTGGGAACTAACATGTAGACAACTATCAAGACAGAGTCTGATACGCACACTGACATAGCAGCTAATATTAATAGGTTACATTTATTGACACTTGCTCTATATCAGCACAGTACGAAGTGCTTAATGTACATATTATTTTATTTAAGTCTCACGACAACCTGGTGAGGGTGGATACTATGATCATCATCCCTATCTGACAGCTGAGGGAATGTATTCTTCCAGAATTTTTCCTTGTAAGTCTTAAATTTCATAAATCCTCAATTCCTGTCAATTTAAGACTATTTACTAAACAGTATTACACTTTCTACTTTTCATCTTTTAGCTCATGGCATTTCTTCCACCTGGAAGCAACTCCTCCCACTTGATCTGTTAATTTACCATCTGGCTCTCAGAGGCTAACACAATGCAATACCCCTCATGTAGGCTTCCATGATGTTGAAATCAGATTTATTCTCACTCATCTCTGGGCTTTTCGGTATGGTTTATAAAGAATAAGGGCTCAATATGGGGTTTAAATCTCGCTCTACCATCCATTAGCTATGGGATCTTGGTCACATCACTCCATCTCTATAAGTTTTGATTTTCTCATCTATAAGATGGCAATGACAATACAGAAGTGCCCACTATACAAGAGAGGTATTATTTCCGCTTTTCAAATAAGGACATTGTGGCTCAGAGAGGTTAAGTAACTTGCCCAAAGTCATGAAACTTAATCTGGAGCCAGATTATGAACCCATTTCCAACTCCAACCCTCATGCTCAGAATCACCCCACTGTACTATACTATATTCCATTTCCTTCCTCCCCTCAAATCTAAAAAAACAAAAAAATCCCATTCCAAACAAAAGAACAACTTAATGCCTTAAAACAATAAAACAGAAATGTAAAATAAATAGGAATAGCCATATAAACATATAAATATTACTCCTTTCTTCCTCACAATTCATTAGTGTGGTCTGTACTTTATGAAACTTTCCTCTTACATTAAAATTCGAAAATCTGTAGCGTTTCTGGAGGAATATTTCAGAGAAGGTAACATATGCAAGGATGTTCAAGCTAGGATGGTTACAAGGGCTCAGCATACCTGGAGTAAGTTCTCCTCTTCACACAAATGCTTATCAACCTTCTTGTAGAGGTTGTCTAAGCCTTTTTTCACTTCCTTTCCAGGGTACTCTTTAATAACTTTACGAAGCTCTTGTTTGTTAAATGCAAGCTGATAGCTTACTTCTTCCTCTCTTATACCCTGGGCTACACGAGCTTCAACGCCTTCAAAGAAATGCTTCAAGGAAATGAAAAGAAATAATGGCTAAGAACTGCTTTTATTACCACTTAAATTTTTAAAAATCTGATTATAAAATAGTATATATTCACTTTGTAAAAAATCAGACATTGTGTAAAAGCATAAATGATAAAAAAACAATCAGCTATTATCACACCACTTAGAGATAACCACTGTTAACATTTTAGATTTCCTTCTAGTCTTTTGATGTATGTAAATGAGATTATAATTTTGTTTGTTGTAGTTTCCATTTAATATTATATATGTTTTTTCCTAAATATAAATTATAATGGCTGTATAATATTCCACCCACAGAGCCATAATTTATTTATTCATTCCTCCAACACTGAATATTTAATATTTTTCAGAGTTGGCAAAGTCTACTCAGATTTTAAAAAATCTATTATAAATACAGTTTTCAGAAATATCTTCTGTACATAGTATTTACCTACATTACTGATTACTTTTCAGTATAAATTTCTAGGACTGCAATTCCTCAGTTGAGAAGTATAATTTTAAGTATTCTGAAGACTCTTCACATACACAAATTACTTCCTGAGAAAGTTCAATTTATAATTCTGTCAACAGTCTATGAGACTGCTACCTTACCATACCACCATTAGCATTATCACAATTTAAAAAACACTGCCATTTTGATGAGTGTAAAAGGCTTATTTGTTGCTTTAGTTCGCAATTCTTTGGCTATAAATGAAGTCAACCTGCTTTCACACATTTAGTAGTGTATTCAGGACCCTGGTCCATTTACATAATGGGATCTTACTGCTTTCCTTGATTTAAAAAATATCTTTACACTAAACATCTGATTTTGTTGTATTCTTACAAATATTCTTCTCAGGTTGTCTTTTAAGTATATTTGTTTTTTTAAAATGCAGTTTCATTGACTGGCATGCATTTATTTGAGCACTATACAATATGATTTAATACTGACAAGTCAAATCCTCTTATATTACTTTTCTCTAAAATTTTCTTAGCAATTATTATGTTTATTTTTCATTATTCTTTTTTTGATAACTTTTTGATAAGCCTATTCCTGGTTGCTCTTAAAATTTTGTTTCTACATAAGATTTTAACTGATTATTGCTGACATGCAGGAAATAAATTGTTTTTCTATATATTTATTTTGAATCCTGCCACTTTACCAGAATGGCAAAATTACCAATAATTTCAACATATTATGTACAGCTAATTATAATTCTGACTCCCCTTTCCATATAATTTATTTAATGTTTCAGGTCTTATCACACTGGCTACTGCTTCCATAACAATGTTAAAAAATAAAGGATCTAGCAATGTTTCTGCTTTAAATCTGATTCCAAAGGGAATGCCTCTGATGCTGCTGGTAAGTATCACGAAGGCTTTAGGTCTGAGACAGACCCTTCACCTAAAGGAGCATCTGTCTGTTCTTCAGTTTTACAAGGAATTGATTCTGCATTTGATTAAATGTGGTTTAAGTATTTCTTTGAATTGTTGACAAGAGATATGTATTTTTTATTTGACTCTAATTTCAAGATAAAAACACATAAAAGATGTCTAATCATGGTGCGGACAAAGTTAGAAAGGTCCATTTAAGCTTCCACTATGTTGCAAAGTTCTCTAAAACCATCATTTCTTATTTTTAATCATCAGACTTGCTCTGGGGAATGACAAGTCAGGAAAGAAAAGGAAAAGAAAAGCCAGTGAACAAAACAATTTTTGGTTTTATCTTGATAAAATTTTTGAAATCTTCATCTGAACTAGGGATAAAGGTTGGCCATTCACGAGGTAAGCAGTGAGAGTGTGGTATGATGGAAAGTTCACTCCCCAGCTTTACTACTTACAAGCCATCAAACCCTCAAGCAAGTTTATTCACTTTCAGTTTCTTCATTTGTAAAATGGGAATGATGCTATCTCACCCCACGTCACTGTTTACAAGAATTAAACGAAATAATCTATACAGAGCATCTAGCAGCATCTTGGCTCACTGTCGGCATCAGTGACTGAGCCCCACCTTCCTTATCCTCCTGTATCAACACATGAGCAAATTTAAGACACAAGTTTGTTATATTATTCATACCTAAACAGATGTATACAGGTTCAAAACCAGAAAAAAAATACTGAATGAAAATACACTTACGTTTAGCTTTTCAAGAGGTTGTCCTAAAGAGTAAATGACGTAAGACTGAAGGTGATCGGTGTATTTTTGTTTGGCTTCTTTTTTTTCAGCTTCTAGACATGAGATTTTCAAACGAGACAGTGTTGCAAAAATATGGTGAAAGTTTTCCATCATAACCACATCCCTGGGGGTCTTCTGGCTTTCGTTTGCTACTTTCTCCACTAAAATCAAAAGGAAAAATATCCTGATAGGAGTATGACCATATTTAGCTATATTTACATGATTGATTATTTTCATTTGTAAGTTTAAGAAGCAAGCACATCTCTGGACTTAATAAAATATATTGTATTAAAAGGCCTTCATATCCACCCAAGTCTAATTAAAAAAAACGCTCTAAAACAGTTCCACGTATATATGGAAACCTAGTATATAACAAGGAATTGATTCTGCATTTGATTAAATGTGGTTTAAGGTATTTCTTTGAATTGTTGACAAGAGATATGTATTTTTTATTTGACTCTAATTTCAAGATAAAAACACATAAAAGATGCTAATCATGGTGCGGACAAAGTTAGAAAGGTCCATTTAAGCTTCCACTATGTTGCAAAGTTCTCTAAAACCATCATTTCTTATTTTTACAATAGCAAATAAATGAACACAATCATACGTACTAGGGAAAATAAAGCTAAGAAAAAAAAAAACTTTGTGATAGTGTGACCTTTCTAAGAATGGCCCCAAACTCAGAAGTCATAAAGGGAAAGATGAGTAAATTTGACATAAAATTTGAAAGCACTTGCACGGCAAAAAAACACCCTAAACAAAATCAATTTATAGCCTATGAGGTTGACGAAGAATAAAAAGATTGATAACATCTAGTAATATTCAGCACTGGTGCAGATATGATGGAAACTTTCAACAAGTGTTCACAGCAGTAAACTGGTACAACCTTTCCACATAGCAATTTGGCAAAAGCCTTGAGATATATCTTTTGGCTTTTGATCTAGTAATTCCATTTCTAGTAATTTACCCTAAAGAAATTATTGGACAAGTATACAAAAATATACGCAGGAAACTGGGGCAAATAAATGTCTATTAATAGGAGATTTGGTAAATAAATAGTGATATGTGGAATACAATACAATCATTAAAAATGATTATCAATATTAATTGACAAGGAAAGACAGTAGGATTATAGAGTCTAGCAGGTTCCAAAACAGTATGTAAGATAAAAATTTTTATATTAAAGCGCATCTGCATGCGCATACACACACACATACCATATGCACATATACACAAGGGAGAGACATATTAAAAAGTTTGGAAGGACAAAAATTAAATGTTATCTCTGCATGATGAGACTACAAATTATCTTTATTTTCTTCTTGTTTTTAAAATCTGTTTTCTGGTTTTTGGGGGTGTGTAATGAGCATATACTACTTTACAGTCAGATAAAGCAAAGCTACTTTGAATTTTAAAAACAGTATCAGCCATACATTCAATCATGTAATTTATCTGTCTTTCTCCTAGACTTGCCTCCACTGAAAATGCTATATGTAATTGATGAAATGATTCCACTTTCTGTCAATTTTTAGCTTTTAAAATTCCTGAACATATACAATCAGATAATTTATTTCAAATTAAACAACATGTCCACATTATTTCTGTAACTTTATTGTGGGATCTGACACAGGAAGACAGTGCATTATAGTATTTTAGCATTAATCTACCTCAAGTAACGGATGTGAAAACTGAGACCTAAAGAAGTGAATTGATTTGCTCATGATTACACAGACATCACTGCCTATTGTCTCCAGAAGACTCCTGCTAAAAAGAAATGTAATCAGGAGGTCATCTTTTTATGTTTAAAAAAATGAATTTCAATTTTGCATAGTACTAAGCCCATATGAGCCCCAAAATATAAGTGGTTCCTGATGAATATGAATGGGCTTTATGTACTGACTGTTTTTCAAATTCAAGAAACCTTTAATTTCAGAAAACTTAAAAAAGACTATAGAATATGAAAAATAATGAACATACCTGTTCCCCACCTTCCAAGTTACCAGAAACAATGAAAATAATCAACCAAAATATTCTTTAGAACATAACAAAAGCTTACCATTAACAAATACTCCTCTGATAAGTTTAGTATATGCTTTATCTAGATCGCCACGACGCTCAGCATTTTTAAAGATTGATTCTGCAAGTCCAGCAAATTCTTCGAATTCAGTAACAAATGGAAGAATTCCTACTTTACTCTTCTTGGAGATCTTTACTTCTTCCATTTGCCTTATTTGGTTACTCTAAAGTTAGGCAGAAAGGAAGGGAGAGAAGTAGCCAAGCAACTTAGAAACAACATATAATTACAACCAAATGTATACATCATAGAGGTAGGACATAATTTAGTACCTAGAACATTTTGGAGGCTCACTAATTAAAGATTAACACAATAAGGATAACTAAGAAAAACTATTTCTATAGAATAAAAAGTACACATATTTTATTTAAGAAAATGAAGTCAAGGGGAAAAATCTAAACTATTTAAAACAAGATGCAATCAAAGCTTGTGAACCTCAAGTCTTTGTTCAAAGCAAAAACAACCAATAAACATTTCTACCATTTATGAAAGATAAGTATAAGGCGATTGCCCATTCTGGGGCAGAGCAGTTATCAGAGCACACACAGGACCTCTCCAGGTTACTTCTGGTTGTGGCCAAGTTTCAGAACCAGAGCCATTTCCAATTCTCATGTTCTGTATTTCTGGGGTATAAGAACAGAGAGGGAGAATAGGCATTTCTACTACAGATTTGCATTGTATAGTTAATCATGTATCTATTACTTATTCTAAATTAGTTCAATAAAATGCTAGTGTTTGATAGCGACAAAGTGCAAAAGGGGATGTTTCATAGAGACAGAATCCAGACATCTGTGTTCAAAAGAATCCATGGATTCAGTTATGGTTCTTCGTACTTCTCAGAGGATCTAGATCTACTCACAGTAAGAATTACACTGCTGAATACTGTTGGATTATTTTCAACTTCTACCTAAAATTTCGTTGTGGAGAGATTTTGGGGGTATAATTTGAAAACCGTATGACACATGGATTAGAAAAGTCATTGTTTCTAGGCTGCAGGCATTAGTATAAGAAAGGCCTGCGAGTGCTGTCAACCATTTCATATTATCTTTACTACCATTCCACCTCAGCAGTATTGATAACTGCGAGGAGTAAAAATGCATGCAGTAGGGAAGGCAGTGTAAGACTGCAGGTGCTGGAACCAGGCTGTCTGGGTATAAATACCAACTCCATCACTTTCTACCTGTTGACCTGCGGAAAGTAACATAACCTCTTGGAGCATCTCCCTTATGTGGCGGGGAGGACGTTGTGAGGATTAAATGAGGTAACGTATGCAAAGTACTATCCAAGTGCCCAGGACATAGTAAGTGCTAATCTATGAATGCTGGTCTATTGTTATTAAGCTGCATGAAGATTTTTGTTCTGTGTGGCATTTTAAATGCACTGGATACAATTATAGCCTGAATAAACTTGAACATTAATAGGAAATATTCTAATGACAGCTGTCTTCTCTGGCTTTGTAACTGGGATGGTAGAAACAGTGTATTCATTTAAGAAAAGAGCCATCCATGAACTAAATTTCACAAAAATAAAACTTCTCTCACGCTAAAGCTATGTGTATTTCCAGCTGATTGCCCAATCATACTGCCAGCACCAGAAGGACACAGAGGTCATTCAGTGTTTAACACTACAACTTTGACGCTAGCCATATATCACTACATTACTTGTCCGTCCTATGTCCATTGCAATCTGACCAAATCATACCATTTTCAAAGGTTTAAGAGAGCAAATCCACATCACTATAGTGTGAGGAATCCTGAAAAGCAAACTAAAAGCAGTGAAGAAATACATTGGACAGCAGAGTCCAGCTTGGTAGTACTCGATGTGTCAGTTATTTGCTAATTTTAGTTCTAGTTCACGCTAGGCTAGCTTTCTTGGCCCTGTTCTTTGAAAAAGACCAAATACTTTGGGCTTCGCCACCAGATGAAACAGCCAATCTCAGGTGCTGTCTGTTCCATTTTCTGCAGCCATCTGACATTCATGCTTTTGGTTCAATACACACAGACCCATTCATTATCTTCTGAAAGTATGCCCTGGGTCTTGATCTTGTCCCAAATACCAGAACATATACCACTTACTGAGCACACACAATCTAATAGGATACTATGGGAAGACTCGAATTAAAATAAGAGACAGAGGGAGATGATAGGCAGCAGAGGGAACCATCCTTCCTTTGAGTGACAAGATAGATCCTTTAGAAATACATGCAATTTAGAAGAAAATATGAGTTTATACCTTTGTCTGGGTTAATTTTACTTCGTTGCTCCACTACCTGTCTCGAGACTAACAAGAATATTCTTTAATAAACTATTGTAAATTACTGAAGTTACTACTACTATCACCACCACCACCATTACAAGCTATCAGTTAATAAGCTCTTATTCTGCGCCAGGCAAAGTGTTAAGCTTGTCACTCGAACTCATGTCGACATCTACCGGACACTACATCCTATGCTTTTAACTGTTATGTTCTACTGCATTGAGAGGTATTACCTACAGTTATATTTTACTGATAAAAGCAACAAAGCCTTCATATTCTGGAAATGTAGAGTGTCCCCATGATCTAGTGGTCCAGATATGTCACACGGGGCTCCTTATTTTAGCCTTTGGTAGCTCTTCCCTTTCTTTGGGTTATCAGCTTACAACCAGACCTTCCAGGTTTACCATCACCTCTGGAGAAGGTGGGGAAGGGAAGAGGATAAGCTTAAGTGGTCAAATTTCACGGGATTTCAAATATCAGGTGAAATCATTTGGTTGGGAAAGAGGATTAACAAGCGTATTGAGGCAACTTTTGAGTTTCTACAGTCAACGTAAATGGCTTTTACAATTTCAAAAACCCAATAAATACTATTTTTTAAAAGTATAAAAAATGATATGGATTATAACTGCCTTTAATATTTTTATCTTCCATTATTTATGGATATTCAACAGCTGAATAGAACTTAGAGGTTACATGGTAGAAATATTCAAATGATACCTATCCACCTCTTCATACTAAATACATTAATAAAATGAAACTGTCTTTCAGAATCTGGTCCAGGCCAATTCATACCTACAAGCTTACCAAAACCTAACAGACAAAAATAAAGTCGTTAATGATGTTTTTCCTATTAGGAGGAGGAAAACAAAGATTGCTGGAAGTTATTAAAAGAACCATTTATTCTTAAAAGACAGCAGTAGGATTATTAATTAAACCTACTGAACTAATTAAATAAATAATTAAACTAAATAATTTAAACAATCAGTTAAAATAATCGTATTAAAATAAGATTAACTAAAACAATCCTAATTTTCTCATTAGAATATATTAAAACAACAACAATAAATCCAAGTGATAGTTTCAATTGTTTCATTAACTCTACAGTTACTAATCAGTCAACCGAGATTTTAGTAACATACTGGATCTCTTAGGCAGGTGATGCCTCTATGCCACTACTCCAGAACTTGCCAAGAAACACAGTGTAGAAGGGCAACTAGCCGGCATAGTACCATCCAACTAACTGTTCATAGAAATGGCAGCCAACACCCTGCTTTAAGGCTTTGGGGGATGTGAACTGTAGAGTCCCCAATGGAAAGGTGGAAATTTCTTGATTTAAATACATTTACCTATTTTTTGCAATGATTAGAATTCTAAGTTATTTTTCTTAAAAAACTTACAATGCATTTGTCAAAGTTTCTTTTGATGGTCACCAAAACATTTCCCAACGTAGTACTTAGAAAAGAAGCAGGGTCCACATTTTGTGCAGTCCACACATGATGACTCATTTTGACGAGCATGTAAAGGGAGTTAAAGCTATCAATTTTGTCTCCTAACGCAATGAGATTGTTCAGTTCTGGCTCAATGCAGCGAAATATTTTAATCATCATTTGGCGGATCATATCTTTCCTGTTCAGAAAACACAAATACAGAAAGTTGTTACAAGTTTCAGGTGTATTCATCTTTAACTTTAATCCAGAGTATACACAAAATGAGTAAATTTGATATTTCAACTAAAAATGCCCAAATATAATGAACGAATTATTCTACAGCACTTTCCAATATAAAAATAATTTTTCAGGTTAAGTTTTATCACTCAAAATAACTTTATGTCATTTATAAAGCTGGGTCTTGAAATGTGCTTCATGACTTCTGAGAAACGCACTGCAATTCAAATGCTACTTCCTACCGGCAAACATTAAAACTGATTGTGTTTTTTTGTGATTACTAGAGCAAAGACGAGCCAAAGGGCCACACAACAGGACCAATTTTAATTCAGTGAGATGCTTGATAAGACACTGGGCACATGTCGGTGTCTCTGCGTGCCATCGGGTTACTGAGAGTCATCTGGACTCCTCACGGAGCAGCACACCTCTTTGCTCAATTTAAAGTCTCACTTTTTTCCAAAATAAACATAGATAGTAACGAACACATACTCAGATGAGACAGGCAGTGGTGCGCCAGAATTATGTTGCCGTGGTAACGTTCCTCCATCTAGGTCCTCTGCTTCAGTCTGCAAAAATTATTCAGAACTTTATATAATAAAAGACCAACAATTTGACTAGTTTATATAGCAAAAGCCTGCTCAGTCTTAAAATTCCTAGGAGAGAATACATTATGAAAAATGATTTTTAAAGGTAGTATTACCGATAAGACTATATAATTTAGTATGCTGTTTAAGAATGTTCACAAAATGCTTTATTCTTAGGTTTTATCCAAGAATCATTGTAGGGTGAGAAGTTGTGTTCGTATGTGTGCACATGAGGGGAAAGTGGGGAGAGAGAAAGTACAGGAGGCTCAGAGCGGGTGTGGGAATGGGAGGGCAGCTCAACAAAAACCAGAAAACATCCAGAAACAACTTTCAAGAGAGAATTTTAAAAATTAAAAAAATCTCACCATTCTAACAAAACTTTGGCATTTAAAAAAATGCTATCAAAAATTCTTACAGAAGCTAACAAGTAAGCAAACTTACCACCACCACCATCTACAACAAATCCCCAACCATTTGAAACGACAATTAATTTCTCATTCATTTCATGACTGCTATTTATATCTTGGTTCTCCTTTTGAAGAAGACCTTAATTTAAAAATTGCTCTATTTGTATTGTGCTTTCCAGTTCTTTGAAAGATTATAGTAAATCTCTCAGTTTATTTTCTTACATTTATGCCACTTAAGAGGCATGCTGAACAGGCATTATTATACCCATGGCACAGATGAGGAAAACCAGGGATTAAATAATTGCTGTAAGGTCTCATAGCTAGTTAGTAACAAAGTCATAACAAAGATTCAGATTTCAAGTCTCACCATATTTTTTCTTCCTTTTTTTTTTTTTTGCTAGACCATGGTACATACACTCAAACATTTTTTTTAAATTTTATTTTTTTCTTGATTAGTACTAAAATGCTAAAATTGCTTTTTAAATGTTTTTTGCCAAGTAAATCCAGACATTTTTTCCCTTCACTAATTTAGAGAATGTTTAGGTCTAAGACAGGCTGGAATATTAATTTAGATGCCCAAACTCTAACTACTACTGTTTTTATCTTGTGGATAATAAAATTATTGACAAAAATTAATGACAAAAATTATTTTAAAAATCCTTACACTGTATAGTCTTTCTTTTTCTGTTCTGGATATTGAAATTGTGACAACACATTAATTAGAATAATTATGCTACAGATCATAAATACTAGCCAATAAATAACCGTGAGCCATACCATACTTCCAGGCATACTTTGATGTTGCTGTAGTTTGAAAAATTTACTTATGAAGTCCTGTTCTGCCAGACACAGAGGTTCCAGTTCACTTAGCACCTGTTCAAAGATCTGAAGAAAACCAAAATGATCCAATAATGAAAGAACTGCACCAAATGCTTAAAATAACATTCCACATTTAATTCCTTTCTCTGCAGGGACCATATATGCTTTATCTATAATCTCAATAGAATCCCAAAAACAAACTCTTCCAAGACTGACAGGACCATGCAGTACTGTCAGAGCATAAGAGGGCCAGAACATATCTAAAATAAAACTCACAACAATTATTCACTTGAAATCTGAAGAGAGGAACACAGAGATAAACTTTTTTTTTTTCTGCTGAGGAAGATTAGCCCTGAGCTAACATCTGTTGCCAATCTTCCTCCACTTTACATGTGTGTCACCACCACAGCATGACGAGATGAGTGGTGTAGATCTGCGCCGGGGATCTGAACATACAAACCTGGGCTGCCCAAGTGACGTGCACCAAACTCAACCACTAAACCATGGGGCCAGCCCTGAGATCAACTTTTTAAACTTATTTAATGCATTGCAGAGAATAATTTAGCTTCATAAAAGCTGTTATTTCCTCTTTACTCTATAGTTGCTCAAAGAACTTAGATTTAATATAGATGTAAGCACTTTATGATTTATAAAAAAGTTTAATAAAGCTGTCATGTCATTTAATTGATACTTTATATTTTAGTTGCCATTTGACTAGTAGTTTTCTCAGATCCAGAATTAGAAAGTAAGATATGGTTAACTAAGAAGGCCAACAAAGCCCAAATCTTGGAACACACTTAAAGCAATAGCAAACTGCTATTTTTTACCTTATCAAATTTGGTTCTGTCGGCAACGTCGAGATCAGAGGCAGACATGTTCCCCATATCCAGCAAGGAAGACGACTGAGATCTGCGATTCCCTGAACTCTGAACGCTGAGCTTATTTAGACTAGAAGTAGATCCAGTTAATTTCCCAGAACTTCCATGAAGACCTAAGAAATAGTAAAACTTTGAAAGTTGTGACTTTCGTGAATAAAGGATCCATAGCATAAATCAGGGCTGCCGTCCACTGCCTTGGTCTTCCAGGGCTCATACTAGCTAGTGCACAAATCTACTGCATGGGATGGTTGCAGAGTGTCCTCCTCTTTCATTAACATTTGTGTCCCATTCTCGAGCACACTGTAAAGAGTAGCGAAACTATGCAGATCCATAGAACAGGACTGAAAGGGATCCTAAAGATCACATAATCTAGCCCCGGCCCAGCCTCACCATAAAGATAAAGCTGCCTGATGCTATCTCTAGACGAAAGTAGATGAGGATTTCTTTCCCATTCAAATGACATGAACACAGATGAAGGTCAGGGATCCCCTAGTGTGCAAGCTAACAGGACTTTGTTATATTTTTGAAGAAAACTGCCACATTCCAATATGACTCGCCTCCACATTAAATCAACATTATTAGGTTGAACTACATGAAACTGCTAATACTTGATCATTCTTGCCCTACAAAAAGAGTGAATTACATTCAGTTCAACTTACTACACCCCTGAACCCAGAAACTCTGCTTTTACAGTAAATGAACTGATTAACTACAGTTTTTAAAAAACGAAACAAAATGAAGGGAAAAAACCACGCTGAAAATTTGTTATATTTAAAATACAAGTAAAATATAGTACATACATCATTAACTATATTAACGCAGGACACCTGTGTTTAGATATAAACATAGGTATCATCACAGTTGTGAGGAAAAATGAGAAGAATATGGTTGGACAATATCCTGTGTACATCAAAGAAGGATTCTATTTTTACAAGAAAATGTGATATTTTTATTCAGAATGAAATATAAACAATAACTTTTTTTATTCTTCTTGAATATTTCTCAGTTAAACCTGTATTATTTGCTGATGGTCAGAAGGGACAAATGAAGATATAATAAGGACAATTAGGGACAAACTGGTTTCATTATGCAAAATCTGACCATATCTCTAAGAATTTTTTATAGTTTCTAAACACAGCCTGAAAACAGAAGTATAATGGTTAAGCTTTTCCACAAATTTCTGACTACCCACCATATATTTTTAACGATATTACATATTTCTTGTAGCCATACCACAATCATCACATTGGTTTTCTTTCACCAATACCTGGCAACTCAGAGTGATCAGCATTTTTGGTGTAATGTTTTTCAAGACAAATAACTAATTTCTAGACAGTAAACAAACATGCATCGAGAATACCTACTAATACACTAAGCATACTCACTCTCTGTCTCCTGTTTGACAGCACTTTCTTTTCGAGGCAGTGTAGCTGTGATGGATTAGGTTGCAAGCATCAAAGACAAAGACAAGTTAATAAACTGCAATTTGCACAAACCATGCACAAGAGGAAGTTAAAGCTCTAGTTTAAAAGACACATGCAAAGAACCATGAGCATCAAGTAACGAGAGATGCAACATATGTTTAGTTGGTCAGCTACTGTTTGAAAGATTATATGAGAGAAAACACTTTACTAGGCTTTTAATGTATTGCTTTTATTCAAATATTCAGGTAAAAATACCCATATTTGTAAATCCCCCCCCCCATTTTTTAAATAATTTTTTTTTTTAAGTTCATGAAGCTGATAAATTTAAAAGACTACATTTGCAAGTTTTGGTTCTGAAGAAAAAATAGCTCAAATAAATAATTTAAAACAGCATAAATTTATTAGAATAAACTTGTAGATTTAGACATTAAATGCATCAACAACCTGGCATTCCCTGGAAACTCCTGAAATGCATCTCCACTGTACTAAATAGTTTTATACTACTTCTGATAAAAAAAATTATGTGAGTGGGGCTTTAAAACCATTTTAAAAGATCAAGCTGAACTACTTAGTTACTGGCTTTGTGAACACCTAGAATGAAAGACATTATCAAAATACTCATCATCAGGAGATGGGTGGATGGAAGGGTAAAGCTGAGGGAACAGGTTTAATACAGGAATTTGAGCTCTTTTAGGGTTATTTGGCATTTCTTTTATTCTAAAACTTCACTCTATATAATATTTATTTGATCAATTGTAGAGATCACCTTGTGAAATTCTAAACTCAAATTAGAAGTTAACGTGAAAGGCAAAGAAAGAAATTATAGAATAAAATGGAAGATTAAAGAATGTACACCGTAACCTAGAAATATTTTAAAAACAGAGAACAATGTGTGAACTGTCACTATCCCTGCCAAACTTCAAGGCAACAGCCCAGGTACAAGCTCCTAACTTGCCACATGAGCGACATGCGTATCTTCCCAGCCTCGGTTACCGGAAGCTCATGGGCATATGAAGCCATAAGGCTGGACATTAAAGTGGCAAGCAGGGTTCGTGCTGGAGCTATCAGATGGCTTATCTGAACAGTACTTTCTGGTGGCCTTAAGGTGTCACTATGCTAAGTTCACCAGTTCCAGAAGTTCCTAACACTTCAGATGCAGTCACGCGTCAATTAACAACAGGGATTTGTCCTGAGAAATGTGTTGTTAGGTGGTTTTGTCATTGTGTGAACATCATAGAGAGTAGTGAAGGGGAACAAAATTTGCCACCCCACAATGTGTCTCTTTAACATGAGGATTATTTTAGGCTGATTATTTTTAAGAAACAAAAAAGACTCAGAGAGTTTTTCCTGTTACCTCCCCCTTAACTGCCTAAAACAATTCAGATAAATGAACTTGTCTCAGGAAGCAAGCTACTACCTTAGCATAACATGAACTAGATGGCAGACAGGGAGGAAGCTAGAGAAGCCTGTTTGCTGGGGTCCTCTCTGGGTCCTTCTGTTTCTGTGTGGCCAAACACTTGTTTTCCAAACATTCGCTTCTTTTCACCTACCTGTGAATTGCCTTTCTTCCCTGTGAAGTCCCTGACTCTTCCCAATCCCAACATCTTCTTTTGTCTTTAGCTGAGGATGCTATTTAAGGTGACGACTTCGGCCGTTTTGGTGAGTTATTCGATTTTCCTGGGTTTCTCCCACGTATATATGTTATTAAATTTTTATTTGTTTTTCTCCTGTTAATCTGTCTCATGTCAATCTAATTTTTAGACCAGCCAGAAGAACCCAGAAGGGAGACGAAAATTTCTTCCTCCCCTACAGTACTTACACAAACCTAGATGCTACAGCCTATTACACACTTAGGCTATATGGTACTAAACTAATGGGACCACCATTGTGTATGCCATCTGTCTTTGACTGAAACATATTATGCACTGCATGACTGTACTTTTCTTTCTTTTTTCAGTAGTGAATAAAGAATACATAGTTACTAGTAGTGCCTATCAATTATAATTTGGGGCTCATAAAAAGCCTATATTATTTATCAGCAACAAGCAACAAGATTCAGGTAAAGTTTTAAACATCTTATATAATCCCCACTAGACTATAAACTTCATGAGGATAGAGTCTTTGCTCATTGGTGCATTCTCAGTACTTAGCAGTGCTTATTATATAAGAGGTAATTAATATTTATTGAATGAATCTTCCAGCCAGCACTGAATTCAGTCTTGTATTCAAGACTCCCTTTGGAATTAATAAGATTTCTTAGTTTAGTGGAGAAACGGAATAAAAAAATAATACCATTTTTAAAATTTTGGAACATTAAATACAAGGGAGGCAGTAATTGTATAAACGCATATGTTAGACTAAAATAATATATGTGTGTGTGTCATCTCAGCTGTAGAAAGAAACTGGTAATTTTTAAAATAATTACTAAATTTCCTTTGCCTGCCATTTCGTTAAGTACATTTGCAGAATACAAAGGGGAGAAAACCCACTAAAATATCCATCTTGGGGGGAAAATTCTATGCCTCTGAGGGTATCAAAGTAAACCTACTAATCAAAAAAGGCAATGACCTACATAAAGATCTTATCACAAATAAAAGATACTTTACTGGCATTTTAACATTATTTCGATTTATTTGCCTCAAGTCAAGAGTGGTTCAGAAAGAGAGTATTCCCTTAAATCTTTATGACTATACTGACTATCCAATTTCCTTTTGTAAAACACATTCAATCTGACTTTCTAGTCTCATTAGCATCTGTGACCTAGCATTTTTTCAGAGCAAGTAAAAGCAAAATAAATTTAAATTTTATTTATAATTACTTAATTTTGATTCATTGACAAGTTATCTTCCCCAAATTTCAGGTTTCTAGTTTAATTATAATTACTATTAAAAAATTGATTTAAACATAATTTGAATCATTGAAAAGATATCTTTTAAAGAATTTACCTTCTATCTTATTTAGAACTTCTTAAGTCATTTGTGTTTAACTTGAAATTTATTTTTAAATGCTGACTAACAAGTTAGATCTTCAAAGATGAACCAAACCATTTTTACCCTCTGAATTCTGTTTTTTAGTTTTTCTCCTCTTGTAGTAGTTGATGATATCAAAATAACTGAAACTAATTTTCTGGCGCCATCAACTGTCACAAATTACTCTCCTATTCCTTAATTATTTAATAGATACACAGAAGAGATGTAATTTTACCACTGTTTTAAAACTATAACAGTGCCTTCTAAACTTGTATTATGTTAATTTAAGAATATTTTTAACAAGATACTTTAAGAATTTCTCAAGGGGTAAGAAAAGAAAAAATTTAGGTTTCAGGTTAATGCAGTGATACCATTAACAAGATACTATTGTACTTGATTTAAACTATATTTTTATTATGTCATTTATCTCAATGTGAATCTTAGGCTTGATAAACTATTTTGATACCGGGATTAATGACCTGCTGAGGAGATATTTTTAGAAAGATTTCCCTTTTACCTCCAGTTTTCATATACTGGAGAAGAGTTCTCTCAAAATAAAATGGTTCACTCACAAGTGGTGACAAATATACTAAATGAAAACATTAAACATGGAACTGCATTAATAATATGCTGTTTACTAAAATAAAAGCATAACATATCCACAGTGAAACACTAACAAGGATATAAACACACTGCTGTTTAAGAACAATTAACCTTTAGGATGAGTTAGCATTTCTGTTTCCAAAAGCCTATTGTCCTAAGATTCTTGTCAGTATCTTTACCTAAATGTGACATACTTGTACACAGATTCAAGCCATTTCAAAAGTCTGGACTAGTATAATCAATATATTAGTGTTGTATTGAAAAAAACCAAACCAGTGAATTACTAATAATTACCTACTAAAGACAGTCTTCTCTGTCCTAAAGAAAAGAATGGAAAAATGTGCGATCAATTTCAATCCTGTTTCCCGATTACCCAAGCTGCTTAGGGCATAGGCTCCTTTCAACCAGCAAATGCTACACTCATTATTCTAAAGGGGAGCTATGCAGACACACTGAGGAGTACACACTGTAGCCATTTAAGGCCAGGTTTTGACTTGAATAGGCACAGAACTCCATCCAAAGGGAACTCCAGAGATGGGTACATGCAAGAGCAGAATGTGGCCTCGGCAAATCAGCTTCCTCGTGACTTGATACTTTCACTGGTTATCCTTTAAAATCATGTTTTGGTCCATTTAACATATTTAGAAGCAACAAAAAACACATTTCAAAAATATCTTTTTGGAAAAATAAGGTATAATCACAGGAGAAATTTTGCTGACATTTTTATAGCCCCTTGGCAGGGGAGAAAACACTTTTAAGCTTTCTTTTTGATTCAATATAGCCAGTGAGAAGTAAGAAGCCGGGAATCACTTCCATTTCCCTGCGGAGACCAACACTTAAGAGATCAGTGACTCGCCCCCAGCTGCTATAAAAGGTCTTTTAGGAAGTCAGAAACTCAACTCTCAACCCGTGTCTCTTGGTCTAATACTTTCTCTACCAGACTCCACTTCATTTTCTGGCCAACTGATTTTCCTATGAATATATACTTTTAACCATAGGATGAATACACAATTGATGTCAGATGCACATACTGCAGAATTTTAATTAGTAAAAAACGTATTTACAGATATATTTGTTCTATGAAATACCTATAAATCAGACCAATGCATTAGACTTACTCTTTCATTACTTCTACTGTATCTTCTTCCACCTTGCTTAAAAAGTCTCAGAAATATTTGTCATAAATAAAACCATTTTTAATAGAATAGAAAACAATGAACTGAGTGCCTAAGCTTACCAAACTTCTTGCTTTCTTTAGTTGTGCCAGTCATCTTGATCTTTGCAACTTCAAAGAAATCTTTAATTTCTCTCTCATACAGTCGTGATAAATAATCCATGTAATTCTTAAAATAAAAGTAACACGTACTTCTTATTAATGAAACAAATACAGCAATTTCCACTTTTTAATCCCCCCAAATCCTTCATGCTTGTTTTAAATTTTGTGGTCTAAAGTTCTGATGCATTTCAGAGGCTATTTTCTGTCTTTAAAAAAAAAAATTGAACAGGTATCATAACATTAAATTTACAAAAATATGAAGTTAAACACAATCACATTTATATTTTCATTTTTACATATTATCTTTCACATATTTTAAATACAGTTGCAATCATATTGTATAGGATACTGAGTTGGAGCAATCACATGTTCCAATCTCATACTTTAATGACTACACAGTATTACGCTTTGTTGATGTACCACAATTTAGTAAACCGATCTCCTAACATAGACTACTTAAATGGTTTCAATATTTTACTATAATATGAATTGTTTCCTTGGAATAATTTTCGAAGGATGGAATTACAGGGCCAAAGAGTATGGGAAGTTTTGTGACTCTTTCTCCTTGCTGCCATGTTCCTTTAAAAATGATTATACCAATAGACAGTGTCAATGGCAACGAAGGAGTACATTTAGTTTCACTGTACCGTGTTGTCTTGGGACATTACAACCAAATATGTTATTTTCAATAAGAATTTAATTAGTATATTCTAGTTTTCATAATTAAATGATTTTTAAGAAACCAATTTAATTTATTCTAGCTCAAATGAAAACATGTATTATTTAGCATACAAACTCACTTTTCATTGTATCTGTTTATCATCACATAAAAATATATTATACCCTGAGGAAGGATTCTTCCAACAGTGAGAGGCCATATATTTTTCCAAGTCCTAAGTTAAATGCCATATACAGAGTTTGACTAAATTTAAATAAATCCAAAGCAGAAAAATTATACCTAGCTATTCTTTTAAATTTATCATGGAATCTAAGTTTCAACTTCCTTTATTACTTCAAGTTAATATATCCAGTTTTGGAACAGGTTTATTACCTTGCTTTAAATATCAGGTGCACCCTTCAAAAGGTATATATTATATAAATATTTGTAAATTGATTAATAGTTCATCACTGATTTTCTTAGATATTTTATAGACAGATCCTTAAAAAATACTATTTGAATGAAACATAATATGGATCCTACTTTTTTCAATTTGCAGGTCATGTACATTTCCCAGATAGTCTCCATAAGAAAAGATAGTCAAACGGGTAATTCTTGCCTGTCATCTTTGCATAACTTTAAAAGCAAATATAAATTAAAATATACCCTAAAATTAATTTCTATTTCATTGTGCTCTTACTTTTTCAATGTCTCATTTTTTTTCAAGTTTAAATTCTCATAAAAATATTGATCATTGCAAATCAGTAAATGATTGACAAATGGCAAATTAGTTTCACACAATTTGTAAAATCTTCATCAGTGGTTTCTACTCAAATCACTCAATACAACAGATGGCATTCCAATACCCAAATTGTTTAAAGTGCACATTACTACCCAAGGAATTTAAACAGTTTCAAAACAGCTATTTTGGTATCTAGAAAACAGCGACTTGAGCAGACTATTGAAAATCACCCCCTTTTCGAAAGCAACTCAAATGACTGGATACCTTTTCTCCAGGTATTCAACAGAACTGTGGGAAAGGTCACAGGCAGGTGTGACTATCAGTTCATTCATTTACCAGATTCTGAAAGATGTCTCTCTCTGAACATGTGTTCCTTTTAGCACTTTGTATACAGCAACTAACTTGAAATTTAACTATCATAAGTTTAAATATTATCTCAGGCAGTCTTTTCAACTCTATTTTGTGCTGACTGTAGAGTCTTATGGAGATCTCCATGTTTTACGTTTTCTTTACACAAAAAGGTAATTCCACAAATGTATAACTGAGGTTAAGAGAAAATGCCTGAATAATCTTCAAGACTGACTGTCCATCTCAGAAGGTTATCAGGAGAGGAAAGCTCATTTGCCACCCAAGCACTGATGGATCATCTCTATTATTAATAGCCCTACGTGCATAACCCAGAGCCACAGATATGGGTGATAGTCCTGGGGAGGAGGGAATCTAGACAGCTGAGCTCATTACATGACCAAGGCACCTCTATTTTCCATAGGCTCTAATTATGTAGACCAAAAACCAGGGCTTTCCCTAGATTCAGCCATAAGAGCAGCTGGGGCATTGCCTAGCGTATCTTATCCCTAAAGAATTTGAAACACACTTTTCCTATTCCTGCCCAAAAAGTGTGAGATGTGTACACCCAATTGAGTGCAAACAGCATCTGGATTTAATTATTATTTCTTAGTAAAGAAACACTGGTTTGTTTGTTTCCTTCTTTTCTTCTTTCATTCCTTTCTTTCTTCTTCCTTTTTAATAAAATTCCTGCTTTTGACAACACTTCAGCAACCAAATCAGATTATGAGGTAAAAAGTACATAGTTTGTCAAAAGTTCAAACCACAGGATCAAGTAACATTCCTGGGAAATAAGTCAATTTCATTTTAAAAAGCTCATTAACATTGTCAATCAGAAGTAGACTATGAACAGATAACGATTCATAAATCATTGCTATGTTGGCTATAGTCTTGTATCTTCACTTTAAATTACATTCATGAATACTGCATTATATAGAAAGATAGGGCAATCATACTCACTGAGAACACAATTAGGCAAAAAGCTTATTGATTACTTATTTGAATATTCACTAGGGGACAAAGCACTTGTTGGCACAAAACTCTTAAGGAGATATAATAATGTTTTAATTATTCAAAATATTAATCCTCCTAAAACTTCAAAAGGCAAAGAATTCCAGTAATGTACATATTTTTCCTTAAGATATCTCCAAATCAGAATTCTGTTGAATGAAAACAAAACAAAACAAAATATAACACAACAGTAGAGTTGCATTAACACTTAAAAGACTAATTCTGAGAACAAAAATAATCTTATCTAAAATAGCTAGCCAGATAAGACATATACAAACACCTTAGGATATTTACATTCCCTTTGAAAAGGATTTTTAAAATTGTAATTAAAAATATTGTTTATTTTACCACAGTTTATGTCCCCTTTCTTATGATCTTAGTTTAGAAGTAGAGGGAGCCAAATTTTACTTTAAATGGGCAAAGGCACTTTGAAGAGAAAAATACATGAAGACTGATACATGAGAATGTCCTACTGCCAAATACGTTGCTATCAATGCATTGATAGAAAGGTATGGCCTGCCTTTTTCTTATCATCACACTGAACCTGAGACACTGGAGAGGAGTTGTAAGAATTATTTCAGTAAGCATAAAGATAAAAGCGGTCATGTATAAACATTAATTCCCTGATAGAGAACAGTCAACATTTACAAAACACTCTGAAAGAGAATATCACTTTCTGAATAAAATTAGGCAAAAACTAGGAAAAATTTTTGCTAGCAAAAAATAAGATGATTTTGCTATCTAGATTCTCTGTTAGGAAATTGTTGGTCTCACAGTGGAGAAGAAGAGCCTTTACATTAACAATCCCAATCTTCTCACGCTATAGAGACAAACACAGCACTCTTTCCAATTCAAGAAAATCTTTTAAGTCATATTGTCCACATAATTTAATTATTACTAATTATTAAAATAGCTTATGTATGACTTGGATTTTTTAAACTCCAAATTCATAAAAACTTATAAATTAAAGATTTTAAATATTTCTCAGGGTATTTCAGAATTTTAAGTAAACTACTCTTATATGTAATGTATAAACATAGCTACTTATATATTTGAGTTAGGAATCAATTCTTTAGTTCCCTAAGTGACAAGGTCAATTCCAATACGAAAGGTCACAGCATAAATGCCAGATAAGTACTGTACCCATGGCTTCCTGCTAAAATGACCATTTATTACATCAAAGTCAGATCATGTCATTCCACTGCTCAAAGCCCATCAAGACTCTTTCCCTCATCTCTCTCACCATAAAAGCCAAATCCTTACAATGATGCACAGTTCCTTCCAGATCTGCCCTGTCCCACCCCTCCTTACCTTTCCCAGCTGCCCCTCTAACGTTCTGTCCCTGGCTCGCTGTGCTCCAAGCACGCTGGCCCCTCACTGCTCCTCCAGCACAGCAGGCTTGCTCCTGCCTTAAGGGCACTTGCACCGTGCCGGGAAAGCTTTCCCCCAGCAACTCCCACTGCTCACCCCTGCTTACTTCTAAAATCTGTGCTCCAATATCGCCTTCTCTGACCATCCTATTTGAAACTGTAACCTTCCCCCAGTCCTGGAAGTCTCTGTTTTATTTTCTCCAGAGCCCTCAACCGCACTTTCTAACATATAACTGACTTTTTTGTCAGTCTTTCTCAGAATGTGCACTCTGAGAAGGCAAGTGTTTGCCCATTTGAGTGCTGTATCTCTAGTGCTTACAACAGTGTTAGTACAAAACAGGTGCTCAATCCATTTGCTGCATGAATATGTGAATGAATGACTCTCATCTTTCCCAACTGATGATATGCAGTCAGTGGTATATTCACCCCTGTTCTTCTCATCTCTGAGCCAAGCAAGTCTGGATCATCCTGTCTCTTCTGTCTTTGGAGTCTCCTTTTTGGTTTATATTCTCTATTCCTACCACTATCTTCCTGGTTGAAGATTTCATTTCAAACCTGAATTACTACATTAAGTTCTTAGTTAATTTCCCCCTTCTAGTCTTTTCCCATGTGTGAGGAATGCTGTTAGGTCTCACGGCTCATCTTTATCAACCTAATTTCTTACTGCTCCAGAACATGAAATTTCTGCTTCCGTCAGGCTTGCCTCCTCACTGCCCTGGGAAAAGCGCATATTTTCCCACCTTTATCTGTACCTCCTGCTCCTCACCCTGGAATGCTCTTCCTCTGATTTCTGGCTTATCTAATCCCACTCATCAGTTAAAACTCAATTCAAGTCCGCTATCTTCCATGAAGTTTCCCCCCATGGCTTCAAGACATAGATTTCCCTTCTCTAAACTGCTATACATTTAAACTAATTTCCAGTTTAGTTTAGTATTTAATTTTTTGCCGATTGTTTTAAGCATAATTGTCCTTCCCAGTCACACTCAAAGCTCTTTAGAAGTATACACTTGTGTGTTAGGGCCCGTATGCCTGGAATAGTGGAATGCTTGCTTAATAAAGAGGCACTTTGCACTTGCTTAACACAACAGATTACAGATTCTTAGGGGGGAAATGCCTCATTCACATCTTCATACTCCCTAGTTTCTATATTGTACACAAAGAAACTTAGGAAATAATTATAGCATTTAACCAAATTGAATGATGCTTCAGGCTACAATATGGCCTAATACTATATTAAACTGAAGTACAAAATTTAGCTCTTCTTTATCCAAGTAAATAAAATAAGTGTTCCCCCTGGTTAATGGGCACTCAGAAATTCAATTATTTTCTGCTTTGCTAAGAATGCACTACAGTATTTCAAATGTCACTTGGGGAACTGAATTCATGACCTCTTGATTCTAAAAGATTATGCTCTATACTCAGTGAGTAATTGTTAAAGTCGTACCTTTGTTAGTCCCTCATATTTCCCATAATCTGTACTCTTCAGCCACTCCATCAGCTTGGCATATCGGAGCAAGTCTCTATGAAATGGATGATGATTGGGTAAAGTCAGTTCAACGGAGTGCTGAGCAAGAGTTGAACTCTGATCATGACCCTGGAGTGAGCAAATAAATAAATAAATAAATATCACTGACAGTATAAAGAAACATTGTTGTAATTGAAAATTCTGAACAATCACCAAATTGGCCAAGCAAAACCAAGAGAACAAAGAAAAATAAAAACCAAGTACTTACTTGTCTTCTTTTCTCATCCTGTGTATATCAACTGAACACCATCACCATAAAATAATCATAAACACGCCAGAATGGCACTCTGATAAATCAATACTCATTTCATCTTCTAAAGGAGAATGAATGTTTTAATCAAGCTTGTCTCTCCCATACCATATCATTTTACAATTTAGTAAGCAAATAAACTTCTTGATACAAACTGTATTAAGAAATACACCAAACAGGGAAGTCATTCAAAACAAATTATCTACATCTATGGTATTTTCATTAGAGTCTATAATATTTAAAACAACAGATAAAAATATATAGGATATAAAATTTTAGAACTAGGAAGGACTATGAATACTATATCCTAGGTTTTCCAAGATAACCTCTAATAATAATGTAATTTTTATTTTTCCATATTTGTTAACTAAATAACTATATGATTTTATTTTCAAACCTTGACAAGACTTTTATATAAGAAAATTAACAGATTATCAAACAGCCTTAGACAGATGATGTATCCTGACTTCTGTTTTGAAAATATAGACCTGGTAGATCATCTAATCCAATAACCTTATTTCCTAGAAGAAGAAATCAAAACTCAAAGGGTTAAGTGATTTGCTCAGGTCACACAGGATGAAAGCTAGAATTGAAATCTTAATCACATGAGTCCCACTTCTGTTTTCTTTTAAAAACATGTCAAACAAAATCATTTTAACCAGACTTAGAAATTGTAACTGCCTACTAGTTACTGCTATCTAAAAAATAAACAAATAAACAAAAATAAAAATCTTCCCAAGCCTTTTTTGAACCAATCTAGCTCTCCTCCTCTGGTATTTGGTCAACACTTGTCATGGAACTCAAAGCCAGAGACTAAGAGATGGGGAGTTGATTAAAGGAATAGAATCCCCTTGAAAATGTAAGTTCCCAAGAATAGGAAAGGGCAAAAAAAAAAAAAAAAAAAAAGATTCATTTGAAGTCATTCTGACTCAATCTGATTTGCCTAGATGGTCAGAAGTTATTTGTTAGCATGTTGTGAAAACTCTATTAAAATGACACAGACTGTTGGAGTTATGGAGTCGGTTAACTCATTTCCTGGTAAAGTTAACTAAAGGTAATTAAATGTGTATTATACTAGTTGATATACATTAGCTTATAAACATCTTGAATTTAAAGAATTTAAATTTTTGTAATTTAAAAGAGATTTCTTTCTTCTATCTAATTTATATGCTTTACTATATACACAAACTAAGAATTTAGTGGTTATGGATTTTTTAAACAATTTCTTTTAAACACAAAGTATTCAGAAAGAAAAATTCCTGGCCTAGGGATAAAGAGTTCTCTAGTAATTGAGAAGTACCTATGGAGTAAGAAAGATGCAAGTATAAGGCACACCAAATACTAAAACCATTATTATCTGAATCCCTTCTTTGTTAAAGTTTTCAAGTCAGTCTATTGGAAAATTTTCTTCTTGTAAAAGTATATCCCTAATTTAAAATGGAAACAAAAAGAAAAATAAGAACCCATTATATAGAAATTACATATAAAAATACGTAGAACAATATACTTCTAAGATTAACCTTACTGATACCTACTTAGGTTAACTTGGGAAATGACGAAAGCAGAAAAGTATCAGAAAACTAGACTGGCCAATTCAAAATAACAAGAACCAGAGGCAACAGAAATTTACAGCTATCATAGTCATTATATACAAGGTATATTATGTATATAGGTCCACAATCCCTTTCTACAATTCTAAAATCCAAAAGGTCTGAAAACTCAGTTTAAGTTTGGGGCCAAAACTATTTTGATGGCAAAACTTGACCTAGACTGACATGAGGCTATTTGTAGTGTTTAGAGTGACTATTCACATTTTTTGCTATAGAAACATTCTGTGCTTGATTACAGGGCCCTGCTCCAGACCCTGCAGAAGTGGTTACATAATATACAGTATATGCATTACATTACTTCTCTAAATCTGAAAAATTCTAAAAACACAGCTGACCCCAAAAGTTTTGGATATGGGAGCATCTGTGTGAATGCTCTTTTTTAGATGGCTGATTGAATATAAAACAATCACATCTCCCAACAGAATCAGCGAGGACTAAGGGTCACAGTGTTGAAAAATGGAACTATTCGGTATATTTGGAATGCCTGGGCACCTACGTGCTTTCTATGAAGTAAAGACTAACAATAAATATGAACAAAATTAGTAATATTAAGTAAAACACACAGGTATTACCACTGGACTATGCTCTATCTTATTATAGTTGCCAAACGTTAATACGAACGTTACATACAGGAATGTCTTCTAATGGTTACATCAGAAGGATGATCAGGATTCCATTAAATTGCAGGTATTAGATACTAATCATAGATAGACATTACAGTTGCCTTAATTAGTTATAATGATTAAAGGGGAAGAATATTTGACAGACTTGTTACAGCTTATAAATGATTTTCAAATATTCTGTCTTCATTGATAACGATGTTAGATATCTTTTCATTATCCAAGACAATCTTCCTCATTCATTTTTCTCAGTGATTCAAGACTCAAAATTATCATTTATGTTTTTCTACCACTGTTTTTACTCAGGTCATTATATGTTATCTTATTTAATTTAGTGCCATGAAAGCGCTTCAATTAAAACCCTCTCTTCTCCTAAAAATTGAAGAATTAATTATTAACATTTGTAGAAGATTTTACAGTTTTTAAAGTTTACAATACCCTCAAACCATTACCATTAAGACAGAGTAAATGTTACTAATCTTAACAAAAAGATTTAATTTTAGAGAAAATGGTTCCAAAATAATTACAGAAAATAGAAAATTTTAATATTTAAATTGATTCAATCAATAATATAGGTAACTATTACATCTAGAACTCTAATGTGGAAAGAATTTTATTCTTTATATTTTTTAATTGACCATTTAAAGTTTCTTAGTATAAATAATCATAAGTTAGTAATGATAACACAATTTATTGAATGCCTACTACCATGCTAGGTACTTTATATCTATACAAATTCTAATCTTCACAGTAACCTTGAAAAGTATTTTCCCCCTCATTTGCAAAAATAGCAAAATTCTATTATTAACATAATTTAAAAATAGTATGTTAGGGGTCGGCCTCGTGGCCGAGTGGTTAAGTCCGCGTGCTCTGCTTCGGCGGCCTAGGGCTTCACTGGTTTGGATCTGGGCGTGCACCTAGCACTGCTCATCAAGCCATGCTGAGGCGGTGTCCCACATGCCACAACTAGAAGGATCCACAACTAGAATATACAACTGTATTTGTATATTGTTGTATTTGGGCTTTGGGGAGAAAAACGAAAAAAATAAAAGCTTAAAAAAAATGTTGAAGATATAATAACACATTAACGTTCATAACAACCCTATGAGGTACATATTTTTATTACTCCCTTATTTAGATAAGGCAACTAAGGTGGCACAGAGAGGTTAATTAACTTGCCCAAGGTCACCCAGCCAGAAGGTAGCAGAGTCAGGATTTCGAATCCAGGAAGTTTGGTTCAGCATGCACTCTTAACCACTGTGCTGTACTGATTGTCTAACAGAAATGACACATTCACGTCAAACACTGAGTACATTTTCAGGATTTGGCAACTCTTTTTTTCTATGTTATGGCATGTTTATTTTTGTTTTCTTAGAGAAAAAAGAAAATCTGAGCAAAGTTCCCTCAAACATCACAAAAACTGATCTTAAATAATCATAATTCTTTCTAAACTTTTAACCACAGATATCAACCTATGTTTAGAAACTTGTGACGTGCTTAAGGAAAGAATTTTTGTGAAATGAACTGAATATTGGTGGTCTATTACACAGGTTTTGTTTTACTACGTAACATTTCTATAAATATATGTTGAAACAAAAATTTCCAAACTTATTCATATAGCAAAAAACCCCCACAACTTCAGTTTTTTCCTGGTTGTACTTTTAGTTCAGCCCATAATCAGTCTCAGCATGTTGCTAAGGGCAGAGCACAGCAGCATGAGGTCTCCGGAGAACCAAATGGGGGAAAAAGGGTATAGAAAAGTTATCTTTTCAAGACAAATCTTTCAGAAGACAACCAAAAGAATTTTTTAAAGGACATATTCATTATGCAAATATTTCCTCAATTTCATTAGCCTTAATTAGACTGCCTCTTTTCAATATCAGAATCCTAATTAGTGTAACTGGCCTGATTCTCCCAACTGAATACCATTCTAGATACATGAATCCTTAAAAAATAAAAATTATAGCTAAGAGTCTGCAATTTCAGTGGAAGCTGAGTGTGTAAGAAGCTCTAAAAGAGCCAAAAGAATCTAGTCAATTCTTAAAAATACTGCTCACATATTGTATTAAAGTAAGAAGTGAATATTAAATAAAAATGCATTTCAAGTTTTAAAATATAGCTATGCAGAAGTATTAACAAGAAGCTTGTGTCCTAGACAGCACGCTCTGGGTCAGTGATTCCAAATGCAAAGATGTTTTTACTGGCCTACAGCAACAAGAAGTAAAGTGATGAAATTTAACTTATTTAAAGGAAATTTAAATTATTAAATTTAAAAGTCTGAAATTACGTTCTTCCTTTTCTTTTAATGCCAAAATGTCATTTTAAAAACAAAAGGATAGTAAAAGTAGACGGCAGTATTTCTTTTTTAAGGCTTTTATGTGGTAAAAAAAAAAAACAACTGGTGAGTTGGACAGTCTCCAAATTTTATTTCTTTTAATTTTATTGACGTGTGAGTTTTAAAAAGACTGGGAATTGATGCTCTTAAATTACTGTTACAGTGTGATGAAGAGAATATTTCCACTGGATTCTTCTGTACAGTAGTTATGAATGTTACAATATCTATACATCGGTTGTAAACTGCATTGCACGGAGCCTGTTCAAGACTTGTCCTATCTGTGATGCCATATCTGACTACTTAAGTCTTCAGTAAACTCACTTTTGATTAAACCTCCTTAGCACTTATACATATGTATACTATGTATACATAGTCATATAATTAGCAATTTAATATATTCTGTTTTAGAGCTTCAGGTCTATTAGTCTGAACGCCTCACTACAAGCATCTTGAGGGTGGGAGCCATTTCTTTTTACATACGGATGACAGTGAGTACATAACAGTCACACAATGAAAATTTGGTGATCGACAAAGACATGTACCGTAATATGGTAATCAAATTTTCCCAGGTATTTTGTCCCACAGCCAGAAATAGAAATACCCACGTTTTCCAACTCTTTTGCTAGGTGACCTGATGCACTGAATTCAACACACAGAAAATCCATAGAAGGTGCACATCCTCCTCTACCTTCTTCAGCACATCCCATGTTGTTGTAACATTCTGGTTTTTAACATGCATCACTCACATGTAACAATACGTATTAGATTTTCAGAACTTGGAAGCATTCATTTTAAACCAAGCCATTAGTTTACAAGACAAAGAAGCAAAATCACAAATAAATGCACGTGACAACAAACAATTAAGAGTGCAGAAGGGACTATTGTTTACTGACTGCTATTTTCAATAGCATCTACAAATGTGGATAACATCACTGTCAGCAGTGTCATTTTTAAAAACTAAGCAATTGTGTAGAAATAGATATTATTGAAATAATACTGTAAGAAAAATGTGAATTAGTATTTCCTATGTGACTTCTGGGTTTACTTTTTTCTTGGCACTTTCCAAGTCAAGCGAAATGTTAAGAGAGTCTTCCCCAGCGCCCCGCTCGCATGCTTAGTTAGGTGCTCTTCCTTTACACTCCTATGGCATCGCTATCCTAAACCGTACCCTTCCTGAGTATATGTGTCTATGTCCCTTCCCTAGGCTGTGAGCTACTGGAGGGCAGGCTCAGCCTCTCATCTATCCCAGTAAATGTCTGGTCTGTATCTGAATCACCTGGTAAATGACTTCTAAATAAATGAAGGAGTGAGTGAGTGTGTGAATGAAAAAATAAAAGGAAGAAAGGCAAGCAGAATGAGATTAAATGCCTTTTTGGCCAAAATAAACTTTTTGCTATGAGACGTTAAAAAATTGCTACAAATATGGTTAACAGGTAGCTTAAATCAGTAAGTTATAATCTACGAAGATTCTGCTGCTGTTTAGTAAACTTTATAGAAAAAAAAAAAGAATCAGAGAAGCTTGAGCCAAATTTGATGTACTCACAGGCACCGAAAGAAAGTAGGACCTGTTATAGAGTTGAAGGAGGGCCTGAGTAAACTAATCGGAAATAAAATACAGTCAATACAACTGTTTTAGAATTCTGCAAAGTGAAAACAAAATAAGAATCCAATGTTTCAGACAGCATTTCTTGATGAACAAAATTTCCCTCAATTTTTTTTGCCCCATAATCCTAATTAAAAGAAGAGATTTAAAAATATAAGAAAGCTAATTTATTACACCAGATATTAAAACGCCTTCTTTTCAAATCCCTGTAAGTCACTCAATATTATTAATATTAATTTTATTGCCACAACCTTAATTATAACATCCTTTTCCATATAAAAATACAGACAAAGGGTTTATTTAAGATTAAATCAACTGGAATTTACAATTGAACTATAGTCATTTTTCTCATCTAAGTACACACAGCCAGGGAGACATTTGAAACACTAAACCAAGTCCTGGTTCTCACCTCAAAATGTTGAAAAACAAAACAGGCCAAATAGTAAACATTTAACAAGTTTGGACTTATTTTTATAAATAACGTCTAAATGGTATATGCAATAAGTAAGCTTAATCATTTGATGATGTGTAGAATCAGAGGGTTTCAGCTGAAAGGAACGAGACTGTCTACCTAAGGAGGTAGTTGAGGCTCCAAATACATCTGTGAGCAAATAGGCACATATTTAAAAATCTTAAAATCAAATAAATGTGTCAAGGAATATACTGTGACCCCAATTAAACACATTAAAATGTTTTGTGGGAATTTAAGTTTAAGGTAATATATAGAAAAACCTTCAGGAACATGCCAGTTTTAATAATGAAACAAAATTACCTGTTGAACAAAAACATTGTTGAGGTGATTGGCCAGTCTCCGGGCAAACTGCTCTCGCAGCTCACTGAAATGCTGCTGCTGCTCTTTCACGGCCAGAAGCATGTCATGGCCTGAAATCACAACATTTCTTGACTGATGTAACGGGTAAAGAGATTTCCCCAATTTTAATGAATACATTTATAACAGTATCCATATTTTAGTTTTGAAGAAGCCAAAGTTTTATTGGCTTATTTGTTATCTTTGTAAAAGAAAGGTAAGCAAGAGAAAAAAACAGCATAGCACAGCAGATCTCAAAGTGTGGTCCTGCCTCAGCATCATCTGGGAACTGTGAGAAATGTGGATTCCCGGACCTCAGCCCAGACCTACTGCATCTGGGGGTGGGGCTTGGCAATATGTGTTTTAACAAGTCCTCTAGGTGATTCTGATACAAATTTGTTTTGCACCTACCGGCCTAGGAAAACCTCATGCTCTCTGGTCTAACCCAAGCATCTACTTTGTGCTAGATTCTGTGGCTGGTACTAAAGAAAAATCATGGTATTAACAGAGTCATTGATGGCCAATCAGACGGAAGTGAAATGGAAAAGTTCTTAGTGCCAAGAGAAACACGTTTGGAAATAAGTGAAACTTCTCAGAGTAGCTAATACTATAACTCTAAACCACTTGTCCCATGTATTTCTTGTAAAAAGCTTTATTCCAAGTTATAGGCTTAGTCTCAGATTCTTGGTCGGATGTTATCACTTCCAGGGAACATACCTGGGCGAAGAGCTACATTCATGCACTGCAGAAGGGCATCAGCGGCATTGGTGCAGGCTTCGATGCCTCTGGAAGAAGCAAGATCTCCCTCCTGAAGGGCCTTTATATGACCTTTGGCCAAGTCCATGTGGTTCTGGAATATACGTAAACATCCAATTTGCATATGTACTTGTGGGAAATTTACAGGTAAGATGCTACTCAATCCTATCACTAGGCCTTTGGAATTATTTTTAATCTTGCTCTCACAAAGGAATTAGAAAATATTTACAAATGGCTTTTATTGATTATTCTTAGATTTTTTTGTTTTTTGTTGTTGGTAATTTATAATCACACTCACCACAAGGAACTCTATCTCAGACAGGAGCTTTACGTTATTAGTGTTACTAAGATGAATCAGGTGGTTGCTTTCAGAGATCTGATCCATTTGTTCTTTTACACTCTGGAGCATTTCCTCATAACTGCTCAGTTTCAATTCAATCTGATCCACCTCCTTTAGAGCCTCATCAAGCAACTTCATCAGGATGTTCACTTGCTTTTCAGAGGCCATGATTGACTGGATGTTGGCCTACAAAGTTAAAAACAAAAATAACACTTCATATTATTTACATGTGCAAAAGAAGTATAAAGGTGAAATACTGCTAAATCTCTTTGACAGCAGAGTAACAAAGATTGACATACATTGACACATCTACTTTAGTTTATCACTTTATGTTTACATTCCACCTTTTACAGAGTATTTCAAGAAGATACTTTGTCTCTCTATCAAGGTTAGGGACCATCCTCTGTATTTTATACTTTCACAGACTGCACAAGTAAGGTTCTGCCCTACAAAGTATCATCAGTAATGGTAATTCCCATTTCCGTAAATTGAGGGGCATTAGACTATGTCACCTCTAACATTTCTTCAAACTCTACCAGCTATGGGAATTTTTTATACTTCTTAGCATTTTTTGTGTGTGTGTGAAGATTTGCTCTGAATTAACATCTGTTGCCAATCTTCCTCTTTTTTTGCTTGAGGAAGATCAGCCCTGAGCTAACATCTGTGCCAATCTTCCTTTATTTTGTATGTGGGATGCCTCCACAGCATGATTGATGAGAGGAGTAGGTCCAGCGCCCGGGATATGCACCTATGAACCCAGGTAGCTGAAGTGGAGCATGTGGAACTTTAACCACTGGGCCATGGAGTCGGCCCCTATACTTCTTAACATTTCTGTAAAATGCTAAATAGAAGCATAAACACCTATGTAATACCTTAGCCTAAAGGGCGGCAGTGGTATAACAGTCTTCGAAGGATACGTGGAACTTATTTACTGTAGTACAATTTGTATTAATAGGATGTAGACGAGCACATGACCATAAGACAGCTCCTTCCACTGTCTTCTTTCCTTTCTTTCATTTGCAACTATGCTTTTTTCCAGGCAAAGCAGTAACAAACCACCACCCCTTTACCCCTGTTTTCTAAATAATTATCAGTGACTCTGAATTCCCTGAAATATGGAAGCTTCTGGATCGAAAATTAAACTGCAAAACAATATGACGACTTGGAACATATATGCAATATTGATTAAAAAAGAAAATATAAACCACTAAGCCACATTAAGAAGGCAGGTAACATGGTAGGAGGAAAAAACTTGAACAAAGAAGGAGAAGAATATCATTGTACAGCTGATGCTATAATTTCACACGTATTGTTTTATATGTTATTCATAATAACACAACTGTAAGTGCAGCCCAACTGTACGAGTGAGCAGGGCTCAGATCCACTGAGTCCATCTCTTAAGCGCAGACCTGGGGCTTGAACCTGTCTGGGACAATTTCCACTTTACCGTCTTGAAGTCTCTTCTAAGCTCTCCTTCCAGTGAGTTTTGTAAACTCGTAAGCTTGGACTATTCATGTAATCCCTGGGCTTGAGTTCAATCTCATAACTTCGGTACCTTTCATGTATAAGATACCAAAATTCTTTAAGCCTTTAAAATATTCCTTATTCTCTGAGGATTTTTCTTAAATGCTTACCCTATCTAAACAAAACAAAAAAACCCAAATATTCCTGTTTTAGATTTTTCTCATGTAAGTGGTGTTACTTTCAGTTATTTCTTTTAATTCTTTACTTTCTAAAGATGTGCATTTAGATTACAGACTCAGAAACTGTGCTTACAAATTAAAAAGATCTATTTCAAAACAGTTTAGCAGAGGAATAAAACATCTTTTTCCCTGGCTCTCCTGTTTTTACCACAATATTCTGCTCCCTTTGGGTAAATGACTCACTTATTTCAATTTAATTTCTCTATTTCTGATTCATATATATATTTTTTCAAATCACAAAAATGGTATTCTTTTGCATTGAACTATTCTGAGGTGTTTCAGAGGCTGGCAGGAAATAACGCCCAAGTTGGTTTCTGGTTGGCTATTTTTACTTCCACCACTTCATATCAGGAATCTCCCCACATCCAGAACCTCCGACAACTGCCTTCACTGGTCTGACTAACGGGAATGCTTCTGTCTTCTGAACAAGAATGGCGAAAGACTGATGGCATCCGGTAATGTGCTTATAAGGAAAGACAGCAATAATCACACTATGAAGGCTTAAGCGCTGAGGCAGTTAAATTTGAACATCACCAGTCTTCTCAATCTACTACACATCATTCATTTATGGATTACAAGAGAGTCTTACCCCATCCAGCACTTGCAGCTCTCTGGACAACCTTTCTGCAAAGGCCTCAGCATTAGAGATTGCACACTCACAGCCTTCCATCATTATTTCAATATCTTGCTCTTCTCGTGCGTTTAACTCTTGGTATTCGTCTACTGCTTCTTCATCACCGCCTGTCACACTCTGATTTTCTCCGCTTGGAACAGATTCTTAAAGATGGTAAAAAAAATAAAGTAGTAAAAAAGTAGGAAGGACAATAACACGATACTTATAGGTAAGGTCAGTTATAAGCACAGGTCACACTTAGTGGCTGAAAAATAGGAAAGAATGATCCAAAATATATGAAAAAAACCCCTTTATTTTTATAAAGAACTGCATGTGTTAATACAATGTTTATTATAACACATAAAAAGCATGCAGTCTAATTTGCTGACTTGTGTTACAAGAAGCTTTACACAATTTCCCCAAACATAACTAAGCTAAAAAACAAATATAAAAACAGAAACAAGACACATAGAAACAAGCCTAAGCTTTTTTTTCCTACCTGAGGTGGTGGTTGCTCTAACAAAACAATGATTATGAATTCAGGACACAGAGAAACAATTTGCTTTCCTTTTTTTTCCCCTGGTAACATTCTTCTTCTATTACTTTTGTTGTTTTTGTCTTTGCTATGTTCTTTTTCCCAAATAACTTTTAATTGAAATGAAAAATGCATTTAAAATTCACAATCTATTTTGGGCACTGAAAATATTAACTGAATTTTCTATTTGTTTTAAAACAATTTCACATGCATTGATAAAAATTTCTCAAGATCAGCTATAGAAGCTTTCTCAGTAACTCTATAGTAAGAAGAGCAACAACAGGGCTGTTTGAAATTACAAAAATTTAAGTGGTCTTTATGCTTCATAACAAAGGACCAAGAGGTCAAATCTGAGGTGCTTTCTGGATAAATGTTTGAGTCCAGTTTTTTGAGAGAATACATTTAGCATGTGGGATTTTATAGAAAGCTTGAAATTAGGAGAGGCAAAATGAAAAAAATAATTTTTACCCCCTAAATAAACCTCTAAGTAAAGTTACTGATTTTCTTAAGGGGACGTGATTTAAGTCACAAACTCTGGATGCTTTAAATATTCACTATTGTGTATGAAAATGAACATTCACCTTCAGTATGACCTGACATACGTTAATTTGTCCTAGAACAAAAAATAGCTATTTCAAAGTAACAAATGATTTACTCTTTCAGAATGATAATTTGGAAGATTTAGAAAATGTCCCAGAGAAAAAAGGAGGGGAGTAAAACTTTTGGTACAGGCAATTACAGATTATAGTACATAGATATAAGCTCTTTAGAGAAGAATCATCTCCTTGTCCTTTGAATCAGTCCATTACCTCATTGTGGAAATGTTAAACTGCCATGTGTGACAGCTTATTAGCCACCAGGGGGCAGGGACTGCCCAAATCATTCTGTACTGCTCCTTACACAAGCAGATATTTAAAATAAACAAATATTTTAAATGATCATAAGTGCTTCAGAAGAATTTTCTATCACATGAAACAGTCCTTTGGAAGCCTATAATAAATACTATCATTAACTTTATTACTATATGGATTTTGTAGAAATGAATTTGTCTCTATACACAATTTCATAAAATATGCAACCAACAGTATATAACAATGGCAAGTAATAAAAATATAAGGAATAGAATAAGAAGAAAAGGTGTTACGCACCTTCTGTAACTTTAGGCAGTTCTGGAGAGTAAAAAGGTATGAAAAAAGCAGAGGAAAGTAAGCAAAGAATATTAGCTGGGTAGAAAAGTATACAGGTTTAAAATTTTTAAATACTACCCATATTTTATTTGAACTTCATGCTAAATTAAGGTTTAAAAGACAACGTCAAAGTCAACCACAAAGTGGAAAAATCCAGAGAAGCTAAGTTTCCAGGGTTCATTTTTCTTATTCTTTTTCTGACAGTGACTAAAAATACTTCTATCTTTTTGTTTTCTCTGAATCTTTTAAGAAACAGCACTGACTAGTCCTTGGAGGAGAAAACTGGGAAACAGATCACTTCCTGGGGATTATTTTTAGGTCACTTGTGACTCATGCATTTAGTCTAGTTATTTTCACTCAAGGCCCCAAAGCTTTACCCAGACACTCCCTCACGATGGATTAGTCATAAAACACTGTTAGAAAGGACAAGATTGAAACAATTTAAAAAAACACACGAGATATCAGTTCAAGCTGGCTTTTAAGGATTCAAATCAAAGACTTTTTCACCTGGTTACAAGAATGAAAAAAAAAAAGGCCCAAAACTCCATCTACTTCAACTGCTAACAAAGTCCTCTTTCAAAAACCTTAAAAACCTTCTGCTGAGAAGCCCCAATTATTAGCATGAATGTTCAACTGCCACCAATAAAAACGACTAAAGTTGCACGGCTAGCACTCACAGGAACAGTCATTTATGTGGATGATTATTTATCTCTTAAAAGTAGATGGTGATAATTTCTTATTTGTTTTCTAACATCACCCAAAGATTAGAGACATTTATTATTTTTTTTAATGGGAGTTAACTGCTATGATTTCAAAGTCTATTAAAACATTAAAATAAGTTTGTAGACATTAATAAAGCTGTTCTCTGAATTCTATTAAACCAAAGCAACAGTTATTGATTTATAGAAAGTGATTTGCAAAATGAGATCCTTAAGGATCTTCTCAGTATTCTTAAAATCAATCTCAATTAGGGCTAAAGTTTATAAACTTGAAAATGTCTACAGTTTTGGTTTAGGTCCTGAAAAATTAAATGCTCTTTTTTTAAAGCTAGACACTTCATTCTAAAAGATAGCAATATTATTCTTATTGATTTTGGTAATATTTCTTAATGAAGTAGATCCAGGTAGGGTATGTATTTTCTCATATTGTTGATTTAATTAAATATATTTGTTTAAAATACATCTCAGGCAACAAATAACTTCTGGAAATATATAATATTTGAAAACAGAACAGCATTTACTCATCAGAATGTTCAACTCTGAAACGGTAAAAAAAAAAACAGCCACTCAAAACAAATTAAACAACTTTTCAAGGCATGAAGAAGTACCATCAATTTATTAAAGGTCATTCTGTCAACATCCTCAATCGCCAAGACACTGGGGTCTAATGTTGGTGAGATGACAGCCCTGAGGGCTTCTACACCAGGCCAGGCTCACTGGTGAGAGGAGCCAGGACCTGAGAGATGTGACTTGCCTCTGCCAGTTCTAAGCACCAAACCTGAAACCAGTAACAGGTTCACTAATTAGTAAGTGCTGAGAAAGAATACTGTATTTAAGGAAAGATCCAGAGCCAAACAGAAAAGGAGTAAGTAAAACAAAATAGAGAAAAGACAGAGGCAAGTGACTAAGTAAACGAGTAATTTGAAACATCTGGAACTGACGTTTTTGTAGGTCAAAATGGTTGAACATTGCCAATTTCACATGTTTCAACCTGACAGAACCTTCTATTTTTACACGCTAATATACAACTTAGGAGAAATCTAAGTTTTCTTTCTAATATACAATTTAGGACAAATTTAAGTTTTTTTCTTAATAAAGAGGAGCAACAACTCTGTTCACCTGCATACTAGCTGTTTTTTCAATTACTTTCTTTGAGATAAAGAATACAACACAAATCATATCCACAAGGCATACAGAACCATTTTCTTACAATGTTTATGTCCTTCTGAAAGAAATTTTAAAAGAATAAAATCTCATTTTATGTTTTTAATAATTAACAGTAGACTTTCTGTCTTATAATCCAAAATAATCCACGGTAACATTCCTGAAGATATACTGATCAAAAATATCCGATTTAATTTCATGTCTAAGGATTTCATCCTGGTAATAGCTAATATTTATTGACTACTTACTATATATCTGGCATTGTTCTTATCATGATATACTAAGTCATTTAATCCTCACAACAATCCTACAGGGTGGATACTATTATTACCTCTATTTCTGAGATAAGGAAAACTGAAACATAGAAGGAACCCAAGGTCATGCAGCCAGTAAGTGACAAAGCCAGGATGTGAACTGAGGCAGTCCGACTCCAGAGTTGTGTTCTTAACCACTATACACTCTACAAAAAAATACAGCTACACGGATATTCACCTCAGAGTGGCTTAAAATAAGCAAAGATTGGAAAATTAAAAATAAATGATTAGTTAAATAAATTATAGTATATCCATACAATGGAATACTATGGTGCCATTAAAAATAATGTTGTGGTAAGTATTTAATAATAACAGAAAATGTTCATGATACCTTGTATCAAAAAGTACATTAGGAAACAGAATGTAAACTTCTTTATTTAAAAAAAGTATTTAAATATGCATAGGAAAAAGACTAGAAGAATATTTAACAAAATGTTAACAGTAGATATTTCTGAGGATTAAGGTTATAAGTGATTTTTATTTAATTTAATGTATCAATTTTCTATAGCAAACAAGCATCACTCCTGCAGTAAGAAAAATTATTTTTAAATTCCTTTACAATATAAGGTAATTCAGTGTTCCAACTACTTTGAATAATGTCAAATTGTATAGTCACTTATAGATACACTTGATTTTAGGTATACATTTTTATTTAACTTTACCTTCCAAAAGCTGTGAGCTAACATTGACAAAATCAATTTTCTTCCGGAGATATCGCTGATTCAATTTCCAAATGCATGAAATAAATGCATTCTTTTCAGCAGTGCTGCTGGCAACCCATTTATAGATTTTTTCAAAATGTAAATCAAATTCAGGATTTTCCTGAAATAAAAATATAAAAAAGATATTGTTTTTGATCATATCCTTTTTCATTACTGTAAAATCTATATTTGAATAAAACAAAAAGAAGTTGAGGGGTTGGCCCCGTGGCTGAGTGGTTAAGTTCACGAACTCCGCTTGGCGGGCCCAGGGTTTCACTGGTTCCGATCCTGGACGCGGACATGGCACCGCTCATCAGGCCATGCTGAGGTGGCATCCCACATGCCACAAGTAGAAGGACTCACAACTAAAATATATAACTATGAACTGGGGGGATTTGGGGAAAAAAAGTAGGAAAAAAAAAAAAGACTGGCAACAGTTGTTAGCTCAGGTGCCAATCTTTAAAAAAAACAAAAATAACTTGAAGCTGTTCTTGAAAAAAGAACACCATTAAAAATTAGCTAAGTGACTTGCAGAGAATGGTTCAGAGAATTCAATTTATAGCAAAAACTTTACTTAGCTCCCAAAAGAAGTTGAATAAAAAACATAGTATTTTGGTAATTTCCTCTCTATGCCCCTTAAGTCTATGAGTGGAGGTATAGGATGTCTACTTAATGGCTTTGTGTCTCAGCTTCCTAGTTTGTAAGATGACAATAGTGTCTAGTTTCGATGTGCACCTAATTTTTCCTTCTTTCTTCTTCTTTTTTTGCTTGAGGAAGATTAGCCCTGAGCTAATAACTGTGTCAATCCTCCTCTATTTTTTTGTATGTGGCTGGCGAGTGGAGTAGGGCCGGAACCCAGGCCACTGAAGCAATGCGTGGGGAACTTTAATCACTCAGGCATGGGGCCGGGTCCTAATGTTTCTTTTTAAATTGCCTATGGGGTTTTGAGTTACACATTTTCTCTGATAATGTACTATTCATAACTGTGATTTGACACTAATGCCTTGATAAAGAACATACCTTTCAATTATAACATATGAGAAAAAATACAATCTACGTCCTGGTGTGCTTTTCAAGAACAAATGAGGTGAAAAGCAGGGATTCCTGTTTTCAATTCTGAAAATATAGAATGATTAAAAGCGTCTCAAAAGTCAAAAATGCTGGTAGGTCTCAAAGTTCTTTCACATGAAAAAGAAGCTCAACCGACATGAGTGAATTCCACTAGCCTCTCTATGTGGCACTGAAGCCATATTACAGCAATAATTTCATGCCAGGCCAAGATGTCTCCCTCAAACGTGGAACTACTTGACTACTAGACAAAAAATGAAAACATATGGATGTACACTTTTCTTCACATCGGAGAAGTTTTAAAAATAGGCTCAAATGTTCTTAATGTTCTACAGAAGGCTAATAATATATTCAATTAATTTAAAGTGTTATTTAGGGGGTTACAAAATGTAAATGAAGACGTTAAAGGCAAGGGAAGTTGTCTCAGACTCTTCTTATGAAGACTTGGGATAATTTAGGATCAGGACTTGACCTGCGGTACAATCATATTACAGTAGCAGACAGCTACTAATTAGTTTAATTTATAGCTCAATAAGCAATAAGACTTGAAGATCAAAAGATTAAAAACCTGCGTTTACAATGAAAGGTAATTGCATTATTACTTATTAAAAAATCCAAGAGTATTGGCAACTAATAAGAAACTTGATGGGAAATGATCTCTTCCCTGGGAATATTTCCCATAATGCCATAAAAAAAGCTGAGTGCCCCAGTGGCAACACTCACACAAATCAATGTGTGATACTAAATGGCTAACGTTAGGCTAGGTATAAAAATTTTATGTTTTATATCCCTATATAGTGTACACACACCGAGGTGCCTACATAAAATGAAAAAAAAAATCCATTAAGCGAGTCAGCAATGAGGTGTCAGCTGCGAGAAAGCATTTGAATAAGCATTGAGCAACATAAGTGAATTATGTAAGTCAATGGGCTTATGAAGTGCAAAACTACTGAAGGGAAAAAGGCTTTTTAATAAAGATGGATTTCTAAAAAGTCTTCCAAGTATATTCTCTTAAACAGAAACCTACCAAAAAAGTCTACTCTTGACCTTTCCCCATGGTAACAGAAATTATTTATTAAAGTGTTTCGGGTACTCCTTAGGGATAAAGCAATGGCCCAGTTTGCCTAAAATACTTAAAGAAAAGGCATTCTCTATATTTGGGAGAAATCTGAATTCTACAGATATGCTGGGCTCTCCTAAAGTTGTTTTTGCTTCATTTAAAAAATATTGTGCACCCGACTCAATTGCCTATCATTTTGTCCAGCTTTTAGTTTCTTAGAGGTTTCTACTAGGGTAAGGGTGACACCAGAGTTTTATTTTATCAGATTGCTCTACAAAGGTAGTTTTACTTCTTTGTGCTGTTTTTTGTCCCCTCCCCAAAGCCGCAGTACATAGTTGTATATTCTAGTTGTAAATCCTTCTAGTTCTTCTATGTGAGCTGCCACCGCAGCATGGCTACTGACAGACGAGTGGGGTGCTTCCACGAGTGGGAACTGAATGCAGGCCAACAAAGTAGAGATTGATGAACTTTAACCAATAGGCCATCAGGGCTGGCTCTTCTTTGTGCCTTTTTAACAAATGTATAAGACTTTACAGCTAAATCAAAGACTCTACAATTATATTAATGTAAGCCTTGCTATGGGCCCCATCAACAGTACAAGTAGCTGTGGGGCAAAGCATTCCCCAGAGCTCAAGAGGGGCCTCTGGGCTGCAGAGGAAGACGACGGGCAGGGCTGGAGAGGAGGAGGAGGAAGCACCTAACTTAACCAGAGGAGCTCTACTTGATTTCTGTGAAAAAAAGGTATTGCTGTGAAAACCCTTGAATTGTCAGGAATAAAGGTGGCGCTTCAACATGATTATCACATTATTCAACTTTCTTAGAGTTTGAATGTGGCTTAAGTAAAAGGTGTAATATTTACATTCTTATATATTATTCTTTAAATTGCTTAAAATAAGGTGTGTAACTCACTGTCGCTTCCTTTACTTGAACCACAAACATCAAATCTTGGCCTCAAAAGGTCAGGTTGGGAATTCTATATTAATTCGTGAGGACTAACCAAGGACTTACTTTGGTTATATTAGACATGATTTTGAAGTAGGTATTCCCAAAACAATAAAGATTTTTTAAAAACCACTCATATAACACCACTTTAAAATCTGCACTAATCTATGGATTTCATACCAAGTATATATAACCTAAATACAGAAATTATAGTCAAGGTTATTTTGCTCTACTTTATGAAGCTTGTGCATGAACATATTGTAGATTAAAAAAAAAGAAGAAAAAACAATGAAACAAACATATATATGTACTTATTTTTAGTAGCGTGAGATTGGGGAGTGGGAGAGTGAAAGGTTGAATAATATACTTTAGATTAATTCTTGGTTAGTTGGTGGACTAGTGGGTCACAAAACAACAAGTTTATATGGTCTTAGAAGACAGAATACTGCTATAAAAAGAAAGACGGTTTCTGAACGCAGGTCAGAGAACTAAGAAAAACTTACTTTAATGGCATCCTTGGCATCTACCACAGCAAGGTCTCGAAGGGCCCAGGCAATCTGCCTTTTGTAGAAATCTCCTTTATCAGATTTCTTGACTTTGACCACCTTCACCTGCACGGGGCGTTCAGTTGTCACTGTTGAGTAAAACACACACTTTCATTAGAAATACTACTCACTCATTCATTCTTCATTTACTGCAAAAAAAGCTGTCAGGTGCCTGTACATGATACTAAAACAGAGTAGTGTTTCATAACACATGCTGCGACTGAGGAATGTACAGAACACTAAATGGGCCATCTAAATCAGACGAGAGGACCAGAGGCAGATTCCTGGAGGAGTAGAGCTACAGACCAGTTTTAAAAGGAATAGTATGAGGCAGACAAAGAGCGCCCTAAAGAATGACTGACAAACGTAAAGCCAAAGGGGCTTGAAAAAGTATACTACTATTTCAGAGGACAGCAATAAGCAGTTCAATATGGACTGTACATGTAACAAAGTGGATGGAAATGAAATTACTAAAAAAGATGGATGTTCAGATCATAAAGGGTCTTTTTCTAAGTTGTGGGGGTGCTCTTACAAGATTTTAATTAGAGAAATGACATTCTCTAATTTCCAGTTTCTAAAAATTACTCTGGCAGCAGAATAGAGGGTGGACTGGAGTGAATGCCAATACATTTGAAAACTTAGATGAAGTGGTTGACAATCACTAAAAAATGTAACTTATCAAAACTGACTCAAAAATGGAAAATATGGAAAGTTCTATAACCATTAAAGAAATTGCATCAGTAAGTAAAAATCTTCCCCCCCAAAGAGTTCAGTACAGTTTTACTTTATCTTTTGCCAAGCATTCCAAGGAATGAATAATTCCAAACATACATAACTATTCCAGCGTACAGAAAACAAGGGAACACTCCCCACCTTACTTTATAACTTTATAACTTTGGTTCTAAGGCCAGTCAAAGATAGTATGAAAAAGAAATTACAGGACCATGTAACTAATGAATATGGATAAAAAATTCTTAAACTTAATCCAAGGGTTTATACAAAAGACAGCATTTCATTTCATCAATTCTGAGATGTACATCTTCTTTCACATTCAAAAATCGCTGAAATCAGGACAAGTCTTAAACAATTGATGCAATATCATGGCATTTTTTTTTTAGTGGTACATAAAATAATAATATATGCTCTAATCAATGGCATATGGTATATCATGATTGAGTTAGGTTATTCCAAGAAGTCAATTTATCATTTGAAAAACCAAGTACAATAACTCACCACACTGACAAGTTAAGGGAGAAAAGTATATATGATAATCTCAATGATTTGAGAAAGCATTTTATAAAATTCAACATCCAGTCATGATTAAAAAAAAAGAGAAAAAAGTGTAAGAAGCCAGGAATAGAAGAGAACTTCCTTAGCATTGTCAAGGATAGCTACAAAAAAACTACAAGCAAATATCATACTAAAAGGTGAAGCCATTCTCTCTGAGATCAGGACTGTATTGATGGTCTTAATTAGGAGACTAAGCAAAAAAACAAAAAAAAATATAAAGACTATGAAGGAAGAAAATATCACTACTTACAAAGAGTCTACGGACAAATTATTAGAATTAATAAGAAAGTTTAGCAAGATTGATATATATAGAAATCCATATAAAAAACCAACTGTATTTCTGGATTCCAACAGTAAATGATTTTTAAAAATGTGTTAATGTTTGTTAAAATTAAAAGCTTCTGCTCTGTAACAGGCAGTATGAACAGAATTAGAAGATAAACCACAGACTTGGAGAAAGTATTTGCCAAAGGCAAATCTGATAAAATTTTATCCCAAATATACAAAGAATTCTTAAAACTCAACAATAAGAAAACAAAAACCCTATTAAAAAATGGGCCAGAAACATCAACAGACATCTCTCTAAAGAAGATAAATAGATGGAAAACAAGAATATGAAAAGATACTCAACATCTTATGTCATCAAGGGAATGCAAATTAAAACAACAAGATACCACTACATACCTAATAGAACGGGCAAATTCCAGAACACTGACACCACCAAATGCTGGTGAGGATGTGGAGCAACAGGAATTCACCTACACTGCTGGTGGGAATGCAAAATGGTGCAGCCACTTTGGAAGATAGTTTTGCAGTTTCTTACAAAACTAAACATACTCCTACCATACGATCCATCAATTGCGCTCCTTGCTATCTACCCAAAGAAGCTGAAAACTTATGTCCATGCAAAAATCTGCTCATGGGTGTTTACAGCAGCTTTATTCATAACTGTCAAATTGACAATCAAGATGTCTTTCAATAGATGAACGGATAAATAAACTGTGGTACATTCAGACAATAGAATATTAGTGCTAAAAGAAATGAAAGATCAAGCCATGAAAAGACATGGAGGAATCTTAAATGCGTATTACTAAGTGAAAGAGGCCAATCTGAGAAGGCTACATACTGTATGATTCCAACTATATGACATTCTGGAAAAGGTAACACTATGGAGACAGTAAAAAGATCAGTGGTTGCCAAGGGTAGGCATGGGGGAAGAGATGAAAACGCAGAAGACAGACGATTTTTAGTACAGTGAAAATACTCTGTATGGTATTACAACAATAGATATATGTCATTATACATTTGTCTAAACTCATAGAACGTACAACACCCAGAGTGAACCCTAAAGTAAACTATGGACTTTGGGTGATTATGATGTATCAATGTAGGTTCATTCTTGGTAACAAATGTACCATTGTCATGAGGGGTACTGATACAGGGAGAGGCTACACATATGTGTGTTTGTGGGGGGAGGTGGCAAGGGGTATATATATATGGGAAATCTCTGTACCTCTTTCTCAATATTGTTGTAAACCTAAAACTGCACTAAAAAAAAAAATCTTAAAAATGTATTACTGCTAATGAGTGTTATCATTTATGAGAATATCAAAAAATCTAGGAATAAATAAATACCTAGGAATAAATACAACATGTGCAAAATCTTTAAAACTATATACAACTTATTCAAAGCCTTGAAAACTATAAAACTTATTGAAAGGCATTAGAGAAGACCTAGATAAAATGGAAAACGGCACCATGTCCACAGACAGGAAGACTCAATATTATGAAAATGTGAGTTCTCTCCAAATTGAACTACAGATCAAAACAATTCCAATCAAAAGCCCAATGAAATCTGCAACTTGACAAGCTGATTCTAAAATTTAGGTGAAAGAATAAAGAACCAAAACAAGACAAAATAAAAACCACATATAAGAGAGAACCCCAAAACAGACATTCTCACATTCATTGCTACACAGGTTAATTAAAGACTAAAATGTGAAAGGCAAAATTATACAACTTTTAGAAGATAATAAGGGAGAATACCGTAATTACTCCAGGGTAGGGAAGGATATCTTAAATAAGACAAAAAAGGGGAAGCCATAAAGGATCAGATTGATCAATTTGATTTCATTAATATTATAAATTTCATTAAAAGGCAGCATAAAAAGCAAATACACAAGCCACAAACTGGGATGCATATAACCAAGACAGGATTAGTATCCAGATTATATAAAAAACTCGTACAAATCAGTAAAACAGCAACCAACACAAGGGAAAAATGACCAAAAGGCTTCAATGGGCACATTTCTTAGACAAGAAAACTAAATGGCCAATAAATTCATAAAAAGATGCTCAATTTCATTATTAATTAGGGAAACAAAATTTAAAACCACAGTGAGATACTATTTCACACCCACCAGATCGGAAACAACAGTTTGTCAAAACCACACGTCAAAACCAAGTTTTGACTAGGACGTGGAGAACTCAAAATACACGTGGCTTGTGGGAGTGAAAACCAGTCCAACTCCTTTTGAAAATCATTTGGTAATAGAGTCGTGTTGAGCATTCACATGCCTACAACTCAGCAGTTCCACACTTACGTATCTACCCGAGAAAATTCTTTCCTGTGTACACCAGGAGAGAAACACATTCTCAGAAGTGCTGTCTAAATAGCAAAACTGGAAACAAACCTAGCGTTCATCACTAGTACGATGGGTAAGTAAGCTGTGGTCCTCTCATGGAGTAGGATACTACACAGCAGTGAAAACAAAAGAATTACAGCTACGTGAAAGAACGGCGACAAAACTCACCAACAGGAACATAAGGTTGAGGAAAAAGTCACAAACACACGCGTTATGATTCAATTTATGTAAAGTTCAAAGACATGCAAAACTAAACAATGTATTAGTTGAGATTATAAATATATGGGTAAAATGATAAAGAAAAGCAAGGAAATAGTAAGCCAAAATTCGAGATGCTAGCTATCTCTTAATGAGGGAGAGGAGTGAAGGGGACCACGGAAGGGCACACAAGAGACTTCAAAGGTAATGGAAATCTTCCACCAGGTGGTGGGTGTACAGCATTCACTGTATGGTTAGTCTTCACACCTTACATAGATGTTACGGAAATTCTTTTGTATCTACTCAATGTTTAATTTAAAACAATTTAAAAAAAATGAATTTGTTGGCCCAACAGTTTTTTCAATTATAGAGACAGTGCGAATATTTAAAACAAGGAGGAAATGTCCCCTAGGAAATAAAAGAATGCCAAACAAGAACTTTTTCTTACTAAACACTCACCTGTGGCGCATAAAAAACAGTTCTTTTTCTTTTTTCCTGCTTTGCAGACATTGACAATACTCAGCAGGCGCTCATCGTTTGGTGTAAAAATGTCTCTCTGTAATGCATGCTTGATTGCTGTCATCTTTACTCAGCTGAAAAAATTCAGAGTACAGATATTAAGCTCATTCTCAAAATCATTCTATCTTACATTGTTCCATTTATGATTTAAAAATGATCTTATTTATGGCTAATAAGCATAGGAAGAATGATTTAATATATTAATACACCTACATCATAAAAATAAAAAGCTGTATGTTTGGAAAAGAAATTAGAGAACCAGTGTCACCAAACTCTAAAATCTTTGGAAGTGCTCACCAAATGTAATACAAAAAAAAAAAAGATTGAGGAAAAAAAATTAAAACCGCATGGTCAATCTTTTTTTTTCCTTTGGTGATCCTAATTATTCCTTTTTATTCAATGGTTTTTGAGTGTTTGGAAGAAAACCCATTAATAGCTATCAGTAATTAAATTACTCATAGCTATTAATGGGTTTTCTTGTTGACAACATTTTTTCCTCCAGTGCACTTTCTCTGTTAATCCTCCCCTGAAAAAGGCCTACTTTGCTTCTACTGCCCATTTCTTTAACTAACAAAATTTTTCATCTATATCCCCATATAGTTGTCTGATATTTTCTTTGCAATAATTTCCCAAGAAAGGAGATGCTAGGACCAAGAATACTGTTTAATTTCAAAGCTTTTGATACACATTTTCCAGCTGTCCTTCCCAGAAATATTGTGTCAACACGCCATCCCACCAGCATTCTATAAGGGTACCTTAGTCCCTGCACCCTCACCAATTCTACATAAAATCTGCAAGCTATTTCTTTGCCTATTTGAGTTTATTTATACATGAGTAGAATGTCGTCTTCTATAAGTCTGTATTTTTTGAATAGTAGCTATGTTGAAATACGTATTTGTAAATTTTCTGTTTGTCTTTTAGCCTCTTCATCTTATTGGTTTGAAAGAGCTCTTTATAAAATAAAAAAGTAATACCTTCCATGTTCAATCTTTAAATATAAATTTCCTATATAAAGAACTTTTACAATTCAACAAAAAACAAGTAACCCAATTAAAAACTGAGAAAGGATCTGAATAGATATTTCTCCAAAGAAGATATACAAATGGCCAATAAGCACATGAAAAGACACTCAACATCACTAACCATTAGGGAAATACAAATCAAAATCACAATGAGATATCTACCACTTTATACCCACTAGGATGGCTAAAATTAAAAAGACAAGCATTGGTGACTGTAAAATGGTGCAGCCACTTTGGAAACAGTTTGGCAGTTCATCAAAAAGTTAAATATGGAGGCAGCATATGACCCAGCCATTCCACTCCTAGGTATATATATACTCAAGAGAACGGAAAACACATATCCACGCAAAAACTTGTACATGAATGTTCACACAGCAAACAGCTCCAATGTTCATCAACTAATGAAATGACACAACAAAATAAAGTATATCTATACAATGGAATATTATTTGGCCATAAAAAGGAGACAAAGTACTTACACACGCTACAAAACCAATGGATCTTGAAAATACTTTTCAAGTGAAGAAAGTGAAAGAAGTGAAAGAAGCCAGTTACAAAGAACCACATATTTTATGATTCCATTTATATAAAATGCCCAGAGTAGACAAATCCACAGAGATGATGATTTGTGGTTGCCAGGGGCTGGGGGCAAGCAGAAATGGGTAGCACCTACTAATGCATACGGTGTGTCTTTCTGGGGTGATGAAAATGTCCTTGAATTAGATAGTAGTGATGGTTGTATAACCTTGTGGATATACTAAAAACCACTGAATTATACACTTGGTGAATTTTATGGTATATTAATTACATCCCAATAAAGCTGTTATTAGAAAATAGGTTTCCACTTATCTCCTTTTTCTCATCTAATTCAACACCTTTTTTCAAATATCAACTTAAGTTAAACATTTAAAAAAATCTCTTTTCAATTTTATTTTTGAATATATATGTATATATATACTATATATTATATATAGTATAATATATACATATACTATATATTATATATATATTCACATCTTCTGTGTGTGTGTATATATACATATATAAATCACATCTTCCCACTTCCATCCCTCTTTTATTTCATCTCAGCCTCTAATCTTCTGACCATCCCCTACTTCTGTCCCCTGCTGTTTTCTTAGTCTATCTGATCTTGCCAAGCTTAATTTCTTTTCCAACCTAGCCTACAGGCAGCGTTCACTTCCCTACACCCACACTATCTCCTTCAATTATCTTTGTAGCCCAGTTCACCCTGTTCATTAATCTCCATACCTGTATGTTTTCTCCACTTCTCTTGGGCTACCATATGCCACTTAAGAAGGTCACATATCCATGTTCATTGCATTCATTACAAGAATCTAAATCCAGTCAGCGCTAGACTTTCAGTGTTGCTCAGCAATTCTTTAACACTTCCTTTGATAATTACTCTTCCTACTTCCCATCGGTGTTGTTGCAAATCCTTATTTCCCTCCTTCAACCCCCAACTCTAGTGTCAGCTTCCTTCTGCTCTGCAAATGACTTCACCATCTACCCTGCAGAGACTACAGAAGCCATGAGGTAGAATGTTTCCCAATAGCTTTCTTCTCCATCTCTCTACATCTTCAGCCATCTTAACCTCCATTCTGCCTATTACCAAATGTCCATGTTACTAATCCCTTACTATGTTCTCAGGCCTATACACTGTGTTAAAAGCTCTACTCCATCCTATGCCCAAGCCACACAGGATACTGGCCGGTTTACTTTTCTATCTCTGGGGAATGCAATTTCCTCTTCTCAGAATTCTTTTCTCCCCAGGAAATTCCAACGCATCCCTCAAGATCCTGCTAAAATGTCCCTCTTCTGTGAAGCAGTCACCCAACAAAAAGAATAATTACTTTTCTACTTCTCTAACATTTCCCCTCTTCGCTGCTAACACAGCGCTTATAAACCATGTTTTCTAGCCAGTTGTATTCTCTCCCTTATTAAAAGTAGCTCCTGTAGACAAGGACTATGTCTTACTCATCTTTGTATTCTTAGAACTTGGTAAAGACATAGCAGGTATTTAATAAATTAACCAAAGTGATAACACCAAATAACATGACAACTATAGCTTCCCTAAGGCTCCCCCTTCCCAACTCTCACATCCGTAAGCAATGGTCCAAGTTCAAAATCTGTCATATTTGATTCTCCTCCTCCACTGTCAACATGAACTCTGCTACCACATTCTCTTGATATCCCCTCATCTACACATAATTTATCCTTCCTTTCTCATCTCACCATCAACACACTGACCCAGGCTCACATCAACTATACCTATTTAACACTACTGCATCTGGTTAGCTCCTTGCAAGCTTCCACAACCCCCAAACCCTTGACAAACAAACAACATGAAAATATAGCTTTCATCACAACATGCCCTTGCTCAACACTTTCCTAATGTTCCCAAATACAAACTTTCCAGTCCACGCCCTCTGTTCATTCGCTCTTTAAATCTTTGCTTAGGTGCTTTTCCAGGCAGGGAATAGCAACTATCTAAACTCTAATTACACTTCATGGTTTATATGAAGTTGATTCAATAAAGATCTCGATCCAAACTGATCTCTCCTCTCAATTGCTATAGCATTGATTGTATTTACTAAACAAACACTAATTGGTTCATGAGATCATAAGCTCCTGGATCTCAAGAACTTTCCTGAAAGACAGGTGGGGGAGACAGGTGCTGTAGCACGGCGTTGTGTGCTTTTTTAGTAGGTACTCAACAAATACCTCTTGAGGTAACCTGAACTGACTAGTAAAAACTGGTCAAATGAATGACTAATAGTAGCCAGTATCTACCACACAGTCCCTCTTTGATCAAAAGCAACCACTGACTGTATGCTAAGTAGCAAAACAAGACAGGACTGGGCATACCTCACAAAGGAGTTAGGCATAATGAAAAGCACTATGTGATCCTCACTGATTCAGCAAATATTGATGCCCACTAAGTACTAGGCACTTTCTAGGTTACAGGGGTGAACATGACAGACATGTTCATGAAAACAGGAAGAGCTACGCCGCCAAGGGCATTTACATTCCAAGGATGGAGAGATTAACTCGCCAGTCTTTACTTTTTTGTAAGTCAGTGAATATATCACTAGAGGTCCTCTAAAACTATCTCCCAGGTTTAAGAACCACGTCTGACCATGTTCCAAAGGCAGTCAGCCACAATACTGTGTTGGTTCTTGTTTCTCTAAATTCATTTAGATCATTCCACTGCGTGACAAATAACCTGTCAGTGTCAGTGCCCGTGTGGATTGGGCCCTGTATGCTATTGAGACATCTTAGCGCGTGGAGAACTGCCATCCAGAAAACTGTGCAGAGACAGGGAAATGCACCTGATAAATTCAGAAGAAAATGTGGATTTGGACAAAGAAGGGGAAGGCATCGTCACGCCCTCCTCTCCTGGTCCACGCCAAAGAGCAAATGATCAGCGTCGTTTTTCTTTTTTTTTGCAAATGAAATCTGGTTCCTATGGGCGGAACCGGAAAGGGATGCGTGAGGACTGCCCTCCCGGTGCCCAAGACACCAAGGGGCTGGGGGATACTCCGACCCGACTCTGCGCCTTACCCAGAAGGGCAGGGAAGAGAAAGGCGGCCTGATGGCGGAGGGAGCGGTGCCCAGTGCTGGGCGCTGAGCCAGCAGTGGGACTGAGGAGCCGCCTTAGACCTTGGCGCCCGCCTGTCCGCTCGTCTGCCCGCCGCCGCCGGGACCACCGGGCAGCCGCGGCCCAAGGCTTACCGCAAGGCCGGACCGAGCCCGGCTGTGCCGAGGCGGGTCCTCCGAGATGGAGACGCGATGCGGCGGGCGCTACCACCGCTACTGAGACGCTCCCCTCAATTGAGCCGTGAACGGGAAGCGGCCGTTCCGCCACCACCTCCCATATCCGGACACGTGACAAACCTCCACGCCGGAAGTCGACCCCGTAGAGAAGGAAGGAGAGGCGGCGGTGGGCGTGGCAAAGCGGGGCCAGCTCTCGCCGGAGGGGCGTGGCAAGGGCAGGCAGGGGCGGGGCCTCTGTCACTCGGAGACTGCCTGGGGATTTGGTGCTGCATATTGCTTTCTCTAGAATAGTTATTTATTCAGATATTTTTAGCAAGTCATATAAGAAGAGATCCGATAAAGTGTTTTCTCTTTTGCATATGTAAAGCTCTGTTAACTCTAGATCCTTGCTACTTCTAGCATAGAGAGTTTAAATGAGTTAAATCAGAATCTCTGGGGTGGAGGGGGCGTGGGACCCAGACATCAGTACTTTTAATATCTTCCGAGAAGATTCTAATATGCAGCCACGGTCGAGAACTACTGATGTAGTAACCTTGATATTCAAAAGTGTGGTTCGGCGGACCAGCTGCTTGGGCATCATCTGGCGCTTCCTTAGAAAAGGCAGCCTCTCCTTAACCTCGAATCTACTGAATGGGAATCTGCATCTTAACAAGATGGTGGCTATGCACATTTAAGTTTGAGGAGCACAGATGATGCCAGTGTTGCTGGTTGCAAGGCAAGTGATTCATTTATTCTATCTTCTTGGCACCTGTTTTATGCCAGGCACTTTGATCGAGGTTCAGAGGTGATTCAGACATGAATCCTGCCCTGCGGATGTTCACAGCATGGTAGGGCTAAACAAGATAAACATACAAATACATATAAAATAAGACAAAATAAGTGACCAGTGAGAGGTACAGGTCAGATAAGTGTGCTGGGAATTCAAAGGAGCCATTTCTTTGCTCCTGCTCAACGGAGTCCTTCACAAGTGTTCTGCAGAGATCCCTTCAGGCAAGCGTTCATTTATTTGATAAACAGTGCCACCTCTATGCCAGGCACCGTGTAGGTGCTGGAGCTACAAAGACAAGGATCCCACTCAGAAGGGGACACACTCTCATTGGGGAGACAGAATTAAATAGATGGATAAATTACAATCTACTAAGGTAAACCCAGCAGCAAAGGCAGAAAAAAGGAGACCACCATGGGAATGCAAAAGAGGAAGTAACTTACTTTTTCAGGGATGGATTCACTGAGAAAGGGACAAATGAGCTCTGCAAAGTATCTTTCAGTGGTTATCTGAAGATACAGTTTGGTGGAAAAATCAGCAGAAATAGTAGGGACCTGTTTGCTACTGAGATCAATATGTTCTCGTTAATGCCACTTGGAATGCTTTCTAATTTCACTGAATGACTTCCTCTTTAATAGCAAGATCTGAATCTAGTCCTATCTTTACAAAGACTCCTTAGGTCCTTCCTGCTTGGTCTCAGAAGGCTTACTGTGGATGCTATATGACAGTTGCATGTGCTATTTTGTCCTATTATCTGTCTTATTCTTTTTTTTTTTTTTTTTAACCTATGTATTTGCAGTCCTCTTCAAAGTTGAGAAGTGAATTGCATTTCAGAAGCCTGGACTTCTTCCCAGAACCCAAGATTTATGTATCCACTGCCTCCTCAATATTTCCACTTGGATGTCTGTTAGGCATCTCAAACTTATATGTCCAAAAATTAAATTCTCCTCTCCCCTCGTGGATTCCCCCAAAAGTAGAGGCTGAAACAAAGACTTATGTGCAGTAGTTTATTTAGGGCTTTTATACCAGGGAGTGAGAGTGAGAGAAGGGGCAGGGGAAGTAACACAAGGAAGAGGGAGAGGCAATTTAAGGATGTGTTATTGAGCTGGTCATCACCACATTTTAATGTGTTCTTGATTCCTTAGGACCAAACTTCAAGAGATGAGTCTCAAAACTGTCCACTGAAAGCTCTGTCCTCTGTCACCTCCTGCCCATCTTTGATCAAATGTTAATGCCCCTGGACATTAATTACTCCACACTTCCAAATTGCACTATTGTGAATGCCAAGCTGACTCCCACACCAGAAAAGTCCTGAGGCAGGAAGTAAGAGGAGAGGTGCTGTCATGGCGTGCTTGCCCAAAGCTCATCAAACTCTGTTCAGAACAGGTTGCTGCAGCGGTGGTTGGAATAAGAGGCTGAAAGGATTTGAAGCAGTGACAGAAAGACACAGAGGCTGTCCATTCAGCCTGCTCCTTGTACCACTCGTATCTGCTTGTGCCCTTGGTTAAATCTAGTCCTTCACAGAGGCCCTTTCAAAATGATGGCCACCCACAATCTCTGCAAGGACCTAAAATAAGAAAGTTAGTGGAATAAGCTTCAGTCCCTACTGCTACACTGAAGCCAAGACCATCCTGGTATTCGTTAACTCCCTCCTCCATGATCCATTCTAACTTCCTTTCGCCCTTGGCCAGCACATCAGCTGATCTATGTTGTTTCCCCAGTGGGGTAACCTGGACCCTCAGCCTTTATTTTCTTTGTTCTGGTTAGGCCATGAACCTAACCATGTAATTGCCTGTTCAACTTATCCCTGGGTACAAAAACACCAAGATAAACCCAACTGAATTCTTTGGATTCCAGACTTGTTCCTCCCTACTGCTTTTGTGTAGCAGCAATCCCAGATTCTTTTGCTAATCACAGTTGATTACTCCCACTGGTATAGTAACTCTTTTCTTTGCCAGCTGGTCTACTGCCATGAAAAGCCCAACGTGACCAAATGATAGTGAGAGAATTTCAAATTCAGTGCATCTCCTACTGTGTATCCTGGGGGTAGCAACCTCCACACAACTCCTGGGGAACTAATTATAGTAATCTAGTAAAGCCTAAATTTGAGAGGCAGGAAACACAAATTCTGTAAGTGGGTCACTGGGAGTAATAATAAAATGAGCCAACCCTGCTCCCATTCCTGGGTTTCTGGAGCCATGTCTTTAGCTCTTGGGGGTGCTCTTTATTGGTTGGTTTTGAGCATTTACCACATCCGGTAGGATAACACTCCAATCCCAGGCAGGCACATTAGCTGAGCCAGTAACAAGCCGTTCACCATTTTTATAAGGCTGGTTGCTTCTGAGTGATGAGGGATATGACAATATCAGTGGATTCCATGGTCATGTGTATATTGTCACTTTTTTTTTACTTTGAAGTGTGTTGCTTGTTTGAGGTAATGTTGATCAGGAATGGTATAATTCCTGTGGTTGTGGATGTTGGCAAAGTCACTTCAGACACGAAAGACAAACCTAGGAATCTGTAAATATTTTTACTTTAGATCACTTCTCTCTATATACAAAGTAAACAATGAAGAATACTGCTCCAATAGTTGAGGAAGAGATGTCAGTGCTATAGAAGTGCCATGGGAGTCTGAGCCATCCATTCATGTAATTTACTGGTGTCTTCTGGACTTGCTCAGGCTCAATCCTATACTATTTTTGTACTTCAATAGATTGCTGCTGCTACACCCATGCACTTATGACTTGGTGGATTTGATAATATCCAGCTCATGATGGATAGCTCTAGTTTCCCCCCTGGAGAATAGTTCTCTGCCTCAGAAGGCATGGCCTTGCAGAACACTTAGGAATCTGTGCTGCAACTCTCATACTGGGGGCTTTCCAGAAATTTCATGCAGTGCTCTTATCCATCACAGATCCCTCTAGCACCATTAGATCTGCTGGAACAAATGGCCTAAGCATTAGGCAACTTGCATCACAGCCCTTCTGGGCAACATATCCAAGTAATGAGTACTTTAGTTTCACAATAAGTTCATTCCAACATCCTTACTTCTGGGAAACATATTCTAGGGGTGGTTCTTTAGTCTCACATAATAAATTAATTCTAACATTCCTGCTTCCTTTCTCAATACTCATTCGAAGTTGTTCTAACTCTCATTTAGTATAGGCGATCATCATATCCAAGCTTTAAGGAGTATTAAGACTGACTCCAGGTGTTGTCCTTGCCAAAGCATTAAATCCAGAATCACAGATAAATGGCCCCATATCACAAATTTTCTCATCCAGCCTTATAAGCTGATTCCTCTGGTCTGATACTCTAAATATTCACTCTCACACATATTCTGCCAGTGCCTATTCATACGTAATAGCCAGTTTTGCAATTCCTTTTGAGTTAGTCTATAGTTTAGTGGTTTTCAACCAGGGGTGGTTTTGACCTCCAGGGGACGTTGGATAAAGTCTGGAGACATTTTTGGTTCTCAACACTGGGAGGGTTCTACTAACATCTAGTGCGTAGATACCAGGGATGCTGCTAAATAACATACAATACAAAGGAGAGGCCTCTGCAGCAAAGAATTGTCCAGCCCAAAATGTCACTAGTGCTGAGATTGAGGAATCCTGGTCTAGTTCTAGAACAGGGATTACAATCCCCCATACGGGATGTGCTGAGATCTGATCCTGAAAAGCAGAGCCCAAGACAAAGGCTTATGTGCTGGTAGTTTGTTTGAGAATATGAGTTTGGGGAATCAAATAAAGGGTTCAGGGGAAATAAAATAGAGAAGGAGAAAAAGCCAAATCAAGGATGTATTGTTGAGTTGACCCATGTCTTGGGCAACTGGTTGGTTTATCCTGTTACTTTCTGAGAAACCTTATGCAATGTGTCTCAGAATTCTCCGTTGGAGTGAAGAAGAAGAAGGAGGAAAGCATTTATCCATTGGACCCTGTCTACCATCGGTCAAGCTTGCACCACATGCTTCTAGTTGCACCTGTGCGTAGAGGTCTGGTTTCTGCAGGTATCCCATGCTGTAGGCAGGGAATGAGAGGAGCATGGTCCTCTTCCATTGCTCTTGAGAGAAGCTGATTGATGCCTGCATAGAATTGGTATCTGTGCAGCACTTAGGATAAGAGGTGAGGCTGGAAAGATTTAAAATGATGCACGAAATATTTCTGAACACTGCTTCTCCCTCGGTTGTTTCTGTTTGAGTTAATGATATCTCTATCTTTTCAGCTGCTCAGGCCAGTCTTTGACTCCTCTCTTTCTCTCACATTCCACATCCCTTTCCAGAAAACTTACTGGTTCTACCTTCAGAGTATATCCAGAATCTGAACACTTCTCACCATCTCCATTACTACTATTTCCTTGATTACTGCCAAAATC